CTTGAGGATGCCCCACATGTGCTCAATTGGGTTTAGGTCTGGAGACATACTCGGCCAGTCCATCACTTTAACCTTCAGCTTCTTCAGCAAGGCTGTTGTCATCTTGGAGGTGTGTTTAGGGTCATTATCATGTTGGAAAACCGCCCTACGGCCCAGTTTCCGGAGAGAAGGGATCATGCTCTTCTGCAGGATTTCACAGTATATAGTGGAATTCATGTGTCCCTCAATGAACTGCAGCTCCCCAGTGCCGGCTGCACTCATGCAGCCCCAGACCATGATGCTGCCACCACCATGCTTGACTGTAGGCAAAACAAATTTGTCTTGGTACTTCTCACCAGGGTGCCGCCACACACGCCGGACACCATCTGATCCAAACAGGTTTATTTTGGTCTCATCAGACCACAGGACATGGTTCCAGTAACTCATGTTCTTCGATTCATTGTCTTTAGCAAACTGTTTGCGGGCTTTCTTATGCAGCGGTTTCAGAAGAGGCTTCTGTCTGGGGCGACAGCCATACAAACCAATTTGATGCAGTGTGCGGCGTATGGTCTGGGCACTGACAGGCTGACATCCCACTTCTGCAACCTCTGCAGCAATGCTGGAAGCACTCACACGTCTATTTTTGGAAACCAACCTCTGGATATGACGCTGAGCACGTGGACTCAACTTCTTAGGTCGACCCTGGCGAGGCCTGTTGCGAGTGGAACCTGTCCTGGAAAACCGCTGTATGATCTTAGCCACTGTGCTGCAACTCATTTTCAGGATGTTGGCAATCTTCTTATAGCCAAGGCCATCTTTGTGAAGCGCAATAATCCTTTTTTTCAGCTGCTCAGAGAGTTCCTTGCCATGAGGTGCCATGTTGTCCAGCGTTCAGAGAGAATTATGCCCAAAACACCAAATTTAACAGCCTTGCTTATCATTTACACCTGAATCCTTTTAACACTAACGAGTCACATGACACCAGGGCGGGAAAACAACATCATTGGGCACAATTAGGACATGTTCACTGCGGGGTGTACTCACTTTTGTTGCCAGCTGTTTAGACATTAACAGCTGTGTACTGAGTAATTTTCAAAGGACAATAAATCTATACTGTTATTCAAGCAGCACACTGACTACTTTAAGTTATATCAAAGTTTCAGTAGGATAATGTTATCCCCTGAAAGGATATAACAGAATATTTGCAAAAATCTAAAGGGTGTACTCACTTTTGTGATATACTGTAATCTGGGAGGTAAACAGCAATTTTTGAAGTTTACATTTAAATTCTTAACAATAAAGATAAACACTTGAAATGAATAAGTTGCCAGAGTGCATAAAATGAAGCTTGTTTCTAAGAAATAATCTCTCTACCTTAAAACATTCGCAGTCAAGAAACACTTTGCATTTGCAAGAGTATATTTTTCATATGGCATTCACATAATGCAAAAATGATGCTTACCAGCTGAAATCTGCAATTTCAAGTCTTATTTTGAGACATGTTATGACTAACACCTAACTCAGGGGTATGTGTCACTGTTTAGTTTATCTGTGTAATGATGTGTAACTTATCTCCATGCAGTTGGTGGCGGGAAAATAGTGGCGGATGGGGTGGAGTGTGGTTGGGTGGGCACAATACTTCCCTTTCCAAAATGCAGAGCTACAGTCTGTTATGTCATATTCTAGGATAGGAATAATAACACATCAAATCTTTTTTCTTTTAAACATATTTGCCGTTTTGCAACATTAAATGATAAATCTAGTGTTTGCATTTAAATAGAAAACGCTCTTCTTTGAATTCTCTGTTCCCATTAGCCATTATGGCGTCAAACCAAACAATTGACTGGCTATTAGCATGCCACTCTCTCTTGCTTGCAGGAACAATAACACAGCAGTGAGGAGGATGTAAGCATGAACCATTTCATTTAGTCTGAATTATGTCAATTTAATATGGGTTTTTGTGTGGTGAACTAATGTTAAATTCATTTTCCCACTTTTCTGCTCATAGAAGCATGCAGGGTTTATGGATATTTTACAGACGACAAGCACTGCATGTGTAACTCCTCACTACTCCTTGTCTGTCCTACGCAGTGTGTCTGTAATTTGCTTTTTCGGTGGAAAGGGGAGAAAAAACTGCAATAAAAGAGAGACTGTTTTGAACTGTAAGCCTTGCTGAAAACAGACCCAGACAGTCAGAAGTCTATCAAGGTGAGTGCACCCCAGTTAAAGTTTAAGAGCCGCTGTTCAGTAAATGTCAGCGTGCAATGGGTGCAGCACTCTTACAGTGAGAGTAGCAAACTTGCAAATAGGAGTGTGCTGGCTCAGCTCTCTGCTCTAATTGAAAATATTCAGGTGTGACAGAAAGGGAGAAGTTCCCTCCACCATTCTGAGCAACAAGTGAAAAATTAAATTCGGCCACAGCTGCAGGCGCTCCTGTAAGAGGACGACACATTTTTACTTCATTTTCAATCAATAACATAATTATGCCATGATCTATGATAATTAGAGCCTAACCGAAAACCATCAACACCCATGAGGAAACATGAATTTTGATTTGTCAGTCCTCCATAGCAACAGTCTACTATTTCTTCATAGCAACTGTTTCAAAGACAAAACTGCAGCTGATCCTACAGGTCAACTCAGTCCAGTCTTGGAGCAACTTAGAGGATATTTTAACATTATATTATATTATTTTAAGTGTATTTGGAGTACATACAGATTTAGATAATTGGTTCATAGAGGAACAGAAGAAAAAGACAAGATGGAACAGTAAAGTTACAGTGAGGGTTGTTAAAAAGCGCTGATTTGGAGTGGATTTACATGGACTTAAAGGGATATTCTGGCATAAAATTAATTTAGGGTCAAACACACCGTCACATTGAGTTAGACACCCCATCGAAAGATGAATGTTGCCGACCGCTTGCTTCTCTAGTTATACCAACTTTAGTAAAGACCGCAGACAGCAATACATAGAGCCACGCGCTCAGCCATAGCACTAGCCATCAAACATCTTTTTAGCTTTGCCTAATTTCTATAACAAAGAGACTAAACACAACTCACCTACTCTCTTCCAGCTTGTAGAGAGACCTTTGGCCAGTCCGTTACAGACTAGTGCAGGGTGACTCAGCTCAAGGAGGAACATTTATGATCATTTCTTCATGGAAATGCAATCAGACCGAGACGTTAAAGCAGAAGAACTACCGCGTCTGCAGTGCAAAATGATTCATATGGTGATTATTACTTCAAGGAAATGATAAAGTAATGATCATAAATGTTCTTCTTTGAGTTGCATCACCCCAAGGGGGTGTCTAACTCGGTGTTATGGTGTGTTTGACCCTAAATGAATTTTACACCGGAATATCCCTTTAAATTTCATATTGATTCCTTTGGATTGGGTTTTAAAGTGTCCCTTTTTTGTCAACAATATATCATGATTTCAGAAACCTGAAATACGTCCTAACCAACATTAGAGAAACAGGCTTTTGTGCTATACTGTGTCATGTATATGCCTAATCCTGGTTCCCGCCAGCTGTCGACCATCTGTGCAAGCATTGCCCCAGCCAAGTTACATATCGACAAGGCAAACACAGTGACGACAACATAAAGGTCTTCTGGCATGATAAAGAAACTGAATTTTAAACTGCAGATCTTCAGCCATAGCTTCCCTCTCCCAGTGGCAGAGTTGAGGACTTGTCTAAAATAAACCGTGGCTCTCTTCTACCATTGCTTGATGATCTGAGGCGGATATGCTATTTCTGCAATGTTGGAATTATTAACAGAGCTAAATCTGCAAAAAGCCTGGTGGTCTAATGTTTCTAAGATTTCAAAATTTGCCATGGTATTGCCTTGTGAACAGGAATATAAATAGCAAAGTTTCTCTGTGTGCCTGTGAACGCCATATCCATGTGGGGTTGGGATTCACTGGGGGTTTACAAGACACATGAAGAAAAAGAAAGATTTTACTGTAAAACTGCATCCAGTAAAAGTAGTGATTAAAATGAATAGATAAAAACATGCAAAGTAAAACCCGAGGCTCTTAGCCTGTTTAAAGCTGGATGATGTTTATAGAGCTGGTGGTCCTTGCTGAGGAACCTCTCCAGGCTAAGACAATATTGTCTTGGCAATGATACATCCTTCGGGGTGAAATCAGTGTTAGGGTTAGATGAAAGGGCTCAGGCCTTTGAGAGAACACTCATTACTTTGATCATCTCCTTTCTACATCTGTTCGGGTTAAGAAGTTGATGTGTCCCCAAATACCCTCTTATCTTGTCAGCAGAGATTTCATTTAGTGTGTATGCCATGCAGAGAGCCTCACACATGCAATACTGAGCTGGTATACATTACCAATCTGAACAGGATTAGACCATGAACGGCAAAAGTTATTTCTGTAACCGGGAAATAATGTATTATGTAATGGAGGGCTGGTGTGGGTACAGTTGGTTGTAAAAAAAATGGATTAAAAAAAGACATATATCCAAAACAGCAGCCCTGTGTAACTGATTTTTATGCTAATTTCATAAAAATGCAAACTATTTTACTTGCTGGACTGAACTTGTCCTGACATCTGCAGGATTTATTTAAACTTTCAAGGTAAAGCTTTTCATCCCCCCAAGGCAGAATTTATTTAAAACATGGTGTGAAGTCTTAGGTGTCTTATATTTCAGGATTGACTTAAAGCTACAGCAAATTTCAAAGTAATGGCCTGTTTATTCTCATATCTCCATGTGTTTTATTTATGTCGGAGGTCGGGGTTAGTTCAGAAGTACCTCACTGGCATGAGGATGAGTGTGGTTTTACAGACTGTGGCATATTCCTCTGCTAACCTCAGCTAACTCTCTGCTTGTCATCAGGCTATTCCTACTTAAATTCATACTTAAACTGTTGTGTCTGAGGCACCCAATTTGCATGTTTCACCCAGGCGTTAAGCTGAATGTATTATAAGGTGATGGGCTGTCTGGATACTTTGTTACTCTTTAAGAGAGAAGGGAAAAATTGGCTATCCCTGCAAGATAAACATGCGCACATACTGGCAGGACTAAAAGATACTTGAATACACATTAGCAATTCAAAAAGGATTCATAAGCATGAGGGCTACAGCGAAAGGAAACTGCACCTTGATTAGTTGACTCTCTCATATTAAGACTGAATATTTAGCACAGCAAGCAACTAACAAGCGCTGGAAAGAGGCTGCATGCTGCTAAGAACCTTTTATAACCTTTTTCATTAGCAAGGGACTTCTGAATCTGACCTAAAATCAACCCACTGACAGGATGCCCTCATTTAGCCAAACACAAGGCCTTGAAACACAGAAAGATAGGGCTATCAATTATTGAGTTAAAGCTATGTTAAGGTAAAGGTGGACGGGTGAAACACAAAGAGGGAGGGTTGTGTGAAGTAGGATGACATTCCTTTTATTAGGTTAGTTATGTAATGGCTTTATAATTCCCTTAAGAGCCTATTATTGAATCTGAACAAATCAGCCCAGTGGCATAAGGAGCCAAGCTGTGCTCGCTGATCTATTTTATCTTAAAATTGGCCGCCAAGGTGTGTAAAGCTTAGCCAATGCTATGTTGTTTTTTCTCCTTTTTGTTATGGTAACAGTCTTGTCTTCAAATAGGAAATGTTTTGTTTTTTTTTTGGGGGGGGGAGTAAAGCACGCAGCCATCTATGTCTTTTTTAAAGGTACATTGTGTATAACTCTGATGACTGACTCTTAAGCTGTCAGTTTTCGCTCAATATGACATTAGCTGACAGAAAAAATGACCATGAATTATCTCAGTTATCGCTGCTTTTAGAGAAACTGCTAATGTTTCATCAGAATAATAAGAGTCCGAAACGAGGCAACGCAGTGCCGATCACTCATTAATTTCTTTCTCTGACTGAAACATGACTTATATAACTACAATATTTAGAGCTGGCTTAGGATTTACCATATAATGCTGTTTTGGAGGGGAGGTGTTAATTTCAGCTTTTCACACAGCCTGTTCAGTCTTGATACTTAAAACGATGTTGTGCTGCGGAGAACATTAAGGACAATATTTGGCAAACTCCATGTTCCTCATTTTGGTGCTGACAGCTGACTGCTGACTGTAGACCAAAACTACGACTTTATCTTGACTTTAATCTCATAACATGAGAGTATTACTTTGTCAGCTTGTGTCACCAAAACAATGACAAACTCATAATTGAACTGAATCTGGTCTTGTTGAGTTAACCTTATCAAATCTAAACATTAACGTTAAATATAATCAAGCCAACAACTTCCAAGTACCACCCATTTATGATCATCTCTATCATGGATTAAAGTGATACAAAGCCCAGGATGCAAACCAGTGGTTGCATTTCTTTAATCAATTATTCTCTTGATAGGATGTAAAGTTGTCAACCTCCTTGTAATACTTTGATTAACCCAGATAACATGTTTGTTTTTCAAGCGGTTGTTTGGTGCAACCACTGGAGGCATAACTGCTGATTAGTATTTCCCCCCAGCTTTTTGTTCGGCCTTTTCATTTACTCACTCAAACAAGGATAACAGCTTCTTATTACCAGTGTCTACATTCATAAACAAACCCTCCAAATCACACAGGAAGGTGCACATACACTGTGGTCACACTGCATAAGTGTGCCGGCGCATGAATGCATGAGGCCACAAACTTGCCCCCTGCAGTGATTCTTATCTTTTTCATCATTTTTCATGTAGTCTGCAAAAAACAGCAGAGCTTGCATAGGAATCATTAATTATGTACCTCCCCTAAGTACAACATGATTAACCCTTATATTCATCATGCATGTTTGTACTCCAGTGAGGATGTAAGTTTAAGAGTGTGTGGGAAGTATGGAGAAGGAGCATGTGTTGAAAGATGTCTAAGCATGCAAAAAAAAGGCTCTGTGAATGCCTTTGTGCTCTTCTCTCTGCGTGTGCATTTGCATGTAAGTGTGTGTGTCTGCATAGGTGTTTGTGCTTAAGCTTTAGCGCAGTTATGCTTGCCGTCCTTGAAGCCGTGCCTCAGCAGCAGGGGTTGCTGCTATGCTCTGTTTGCAAAGCAGACATTAAAAGCTGCAACTTTATTGATAGAAAAGGAGTGACATTTCCAGAGAGACAGAAATTCAAACCTGACAAAATGAAAGAGGCATGTGTGTTTGAAACAACAGAGAGTAAAACAAATAGAAACATATTTTGAGATCAGACTTTCTCTGTTTGTACGTGAGTGTGTGCGCCTCTCGTGTGTGTCAAGATTCACCTTTCCAACCCTTCCCACTGGAGAGCTGTGCCAGGTGGGGAGATGCCAGCTGTGCCTATAATAGATGGGTGAGAGTGCGCAAGGTATTTATGTAAATATGACTCTCTGGTATGAAAGGACCTGAAATATAAATGCTCAGTCTAAAGGTTAGCAGTTTCATAAATTGAAACAGAAATTAGTGTCTCTCCCTGATGTTGGAAGTGGAACTGTGGACACAGAGAAACTTTAATTTTCACTTGATATGATAAAAGTGTCAGAGCGTACCTGTGTGGTTTTCATTCATTTTAGCATGAGGCGTGAACATGATAATTTACTTTGTGCAGTCCAAATCATATTACCATAACCGTGTCCTGGTTTGAATGTGAAAGAAGAACTGTGGTGTTTTTGCATGTAATCCCAATCTCTATCCTCATGTTACCTTGAAAAGGGTCAAATACAGGCAGTTTACAGTGTCCCTAAACTCCTTTTATGAACTTATATATCAAGTATATGAGCGCTCATGACTTCCACTTCCAGTATGTTGAAACTACAGGCAAAAATTAACCGTATTGTCATTGGACTCAGATTCACAAGTGTTCAGTATTGTTGATGCAGTTGGTGCCAGAGTCCTTGCACTTTGGGAGGCCCATGAAAAAGGTAACGTGGGGATAAAAGCTGTTCCAACCTTCGCTATCAAGGATGTGATAAATCTTTATACCATCTCTTCAAGGAGTTTGATGTGCTGATGGCTCACAATCACTTTTCAGTCCTTTTGGATCTTATTTTGATCATTTAAGTCACTATGTTTACATGCAGTTAAAACAGAAAAAAAGATTTATTGCCTGATTCCAACTGAGACTGGACTTTTAAAAATCAAGTGAAGACATTATTGAGCTTCTAAAAGTCAGACTAACATACCTGGATATTGCAGATGGGGATCAATTTTCTCTGTCGTGTATACGGTGGCTCAATCAAACAGAAACCGGCTAAGTGTCCCATGCATGCCTCGGTGTTCGCATGCCTGACCGAATGGCATGGATATGTTGCTAGGAAGCCCGTTGGTAAACAAAACCTCAACCGGTTGTAACAGGTGTAAAAGTAAAAGTTTTCTAACAAATGGCACAGAGCTGTACAATTTACTGTTTCTATGGCTGCAGGTGGTTTTCATCATTGGCTGGTTTCGATAAAAACTGTGGTGTAAGTCTCTGCAGGGTGACATACATACATTGGCCACTTAATTAGGTGCACCTGTTCAAATCTTAATTGCTAATCATCCAATCACATGGTTGCAACTCAATACATTTAGCTATGAAGACGTGGTCAAGTAGACTTGCTTAAAGGGTTATTCCGGCATAATACTAAGTTAGACACCCCCTCAAGAGATGAATGTTACCGACCACTTGCTTCTCTAGTTATACCAACTTTAGTAAGGACCACAGATAGCAATACACAGTGGTCAAAGGAGCCAAACAAAAACATCAACCAAAAAGCCAATCTATAGCCACAAATAATGCTCAGAACAGCACCTAACTTCATCAACAGGACATATAGTCAAACATTTAGTCAATCCTATAGTGAATCCTTTGGGATGTAGTGGAGGGGGAGATTAACATCATGGAAGCGCAGCCAATAAATCTGCAGTACCTGCGTGATGCTTACATGTTAATATGGACAAATATCTCTGAGGAAGGTTACCAACACCTTGTTGAAAGTATGCTGGAAGAAATAAGACAGTTCTGAAGCCCAAACAAAGTGGCCAGCGAGTTTCTAGCTGTTTGGGGAGGATGTGTTTGTCTGTGAGTGTACATGTGTATGAGTCTGTTTCTCTTTGTGAGGCAAGAAGGAGAACCACAAAACAAATTTCCACCAGGGTCCATTATATCTTCAATTACTGCTCAGATCTGTTTTGACTACAACATGTCACATCAAATCTCATCTTTTCAAATGAGGTTTGGGCCACCTTCATCTCCGGTCCCAAAGCAGACACAGGTTAGAACTATCGAAAGGTGATCTCAATTTGATGTGTCAGAACTTGAGCCATGTGACTCACATCCCACCCTTGAGCGACATTCACTTTGTCAGATTTCACATCATTGGCGGAAGGTATCCCTTGACATTTTAAAGACTTGTTAGAAATTTCTGCCCACAGAGCCAGTAATGACCTAACCCCACCACTCCTCCACTCCAATTCATCATCAACGCTCCTCTGCAGCAGCCATTGCTTCACAAAAAAAAAAAACAAATCTAGACTCTTTTTCTCCTCGCTACAGGTTCACAAGCTTTCATTGCAGACTTTGGTGACATGACTTTGTAAATCTTTTGTACAACCAGGGAAAGACTGAAAAACAGTTCACTTAGAAAGCTTATACAAGCCACTATTTATGGTTTGACATGGATAGCAAATCAAAAATTCTGGGGGATAAATCCTTATCCTAAAAATGAGGTGTGGAGTGTGAATAAAATCTGAGTATTCAATATTTAGCAAAGATCCTTTTAATAATTTGCTCTGATGATGTATCAGTATTACCTCTGCAGTGATAACCACTAGCCTTTTTGGTATGTAAGTGCGTGTTTTTCCCCTTCTGGATTCATTGGAGCAAGCTGATGGGACAGATGGACAGAGGGATGGCTGAGATTTGAATGAGAGGCAGTGTAATGAGAAAAAATGTGACTCGGGGACTTAGTATGAGTGTGTTAGGAGAATTTGAATAAATTAAGGGCCTAACTGAAGAGAGTTTAAGTGCCCGTTGACTTAAAATATTCCACAGCTCAAAAATACATGAGATCTTTTTTTCTTTTTCTCTATATTAAACCACTCACAGAGGGCCGCATGTGAATGATTAGACACGCGCACGGACACTACATCTGCAGAGATGTGTTTTCCTCAGGGTGAAGGAGACCAACCAAAGTTTCAGTTTAAAGCAGATTGAGGTATTGCTGACTGGTTGATTTCTTACACTTCATTGGTAAGTCAAGACTCTCCTTAAAAACTGTGTATTCCTCTCAGAAACTTTTCCAGCACGGTCTATCATTACATGGTTTAAGAGATAAGTTCACTGCCTCATGTTGTGTTCACGCCTTACATAATTAAATCCTGTGAGCGAATTACACGCAAAGTCAATGTGAAAACGCAAGTTCTCAAGAAGACACAAATGAGGCGGCACTAATAGTCTGAATGACAACATGTTCAACATGCAACTCGCTTAAAAAGAGTTGAAAAATCCAAACTCAAGGGAATCATTTGCACCACGATAGCCAATCAGCTTGGAGATTCCCTGGTGACATACATTAACAACAGACTGGCAGATGTTTATTTATCTGGAAAATGGAGCTATAGTAGAGAAGACAAGAAAGGCCATGGATTTTTCTTTTTTATATAATGCACTGTTATCTCATGATGACAACTTATTATCTCGTTTTATAACAAAGTTTGTTTTCTCATAAAAACAACATCTCTTTATCTCAAAATAGCAAAGTTTGCTTTCTCATGATAATGATTTATTTTTTGTTTCCTCAGCATCTCGTAATAAGGAATAAATAAATAATTTGTCCGCCATTGTTACTGTTGTTGTCCAATTCATGCATGGCAGTTAAATGTTCACATGTTGAAAGTATAATGCACATGTATAGAGTGTGACATCAGCGTTTCCATTGACAATGGTGGCTGCGGCATTTTAGAAATATCCCACTCTGGTGAGCGTTTTTAAAAGTTACGGTTTTACATCGGCAAAATAATTCATTATCCCTTGAAACGATCTCTGATATGTCAAGATGACAAAAACATTTGTTACAAGTTCGTTACAAGAAAATGAACTTTGTTATACTGTGATAACGGGATAATAAGTCGTTATCATGAGATAACAGTGCCTTAAAAAAGAAAAATCCATGGCCATTTTTATCTTCCATACTGTAGGACAAAATGTTTGTTTTGTATCCAATAAACAGGGTCACCTGAAGGAAAGTGAGTGAGGGAGGTTGGACGATCTGGTAAACTGTTTCAACACAACAACCTTAACGTTGCTCAGTGTAAGCAAACTGACAGGATATATAGAAACCCATCCCACATGTGCTATTCATGTGTTGGGTAACTTTTCCAGACGTGATATAAATGCACATCAATGGAGGGAGTCAATAGTCAAGTAAACACATGATAATTAGATGTTGAAATGCACGCAGATTTGGTGCTGTCATGTCTTGGTATGCAGTGTTTCCTCAATCATGTGCAACATTCATTTATTCTTTAGTCCACTCAGCAGCACGAGGAGAATAAATTATGAGTTAAAATCCTTTAGCAGCATTGGCCCTCATTTGGAAGGCATGCGGTTCAATAAGAGTCCAATATTCCCTCCCCTTCTGGCACTCATCTGGTTTATGCCAACTCCTGGGGGATGTATGTGCCACGCTGGCTGCTAATTACTCCTGAATCTTCACCGGCTACTCACTAACTTTGTCTTCTCTTCTGTTTATTAGTTTTACCAGTCAGTTGGACTACTGCTATTAGTCCACTCCCTGGAGCCAAGTTGAATTTAAGCGTAATTACATGAAACTCTCTGTCTTTGTGTGCAAATCTTTGCCAATGACTTCTGACCATTTCTTTCTATGAAAGTGGAGATTAGTAGTAGCCTGTAGGTTGTCTGTGTGGCCTTGTGCAGGAAATATTTTGTACAATAACTTTTATGTGGACCTTTTATGTTGTCCTCGCTCTTTCTTTATCTATCTTTGTCCTTTATTTCCACCCCTCTACCTTCCTCGGTAGCTGTGTTGTTCTAAAATACAGTATATTCGGAAGCAAACTGCTCGAGTCTCCATAAATATCCTGTCAGAAGGGTTCAGATAGCTATTTGGAGAGCCAATAAAAAACAGACCCAAGGGCAGGAGTCAACAGACCCTCGTATGGCTGCCACTGCTCTGCTGCTCACCCTGCTCGAGAGGGACATTAATAAAACAAGATGTCCAACACTGATTTTTTTTATGGACATGTGGAGTGTTTTTCTATATTTTTGCTCAGCCATCTAATCACATCACTCTCCTTTCTGGAAACCAATGATTTTTAAGTATACTGACTGGAGACCAATAATTTTAGACAGAGATGAATTTGACAGACATGTCAAAGAAAACAGGGGCATGGCTGGCCTGGCTGTCTTAGCGCACGTCTCATTTACATGTACAGTGGTTATGGTTCGATTCCAGCCAGCAGACTTTTTCTGACGGGTTACTCCCTGCTCTCTTTTAGTTTCCTGCTCAGGCTATTTAAAAATAACAGCAAAAAGACTAAAAGTATGTCTTCAAACAGTCATTTACAAGTCTGATGACAAAGGGGGGAGGGGGGACCCTAAAAGAACATGTCCAGAAAATATTCAAATAGCAATTCTGAAACATTTGAAGGATCTGTCAACAACTAAAGATGTTCATGAGTGTATTTCATGTTGTTACCCGACTCTAAAACAAAAGTGTTCTGTCTGTTTCTGTCTTTAACTATGAGGCTCTGAAACCGGCAGAAAAGAGAACAATGAAGTCGACTTTAACAAGAGGATGAAAACAACACAAGATGATTCGACAGACTGAAGATGATGGGACAGACTCAGCAGAAGCTGCATTTTTACATTGGTGTCATTTTGGATGCAAAAGCACTGGAACACAGACCAAGGCCAAACAAACAGCACATCTGCAACATCAAGTGGACACACTGTTTTGTTGAACTGAAAATGCAGAGTATGAAAATAGACTGATGTGGGTTTTCTGTGAGGAGAAATGGACCCTGTCCTTCTCACTGTGTCGAATTACTTACACAAAGACAGTCAGACTTATTTTTACTTCTTTATCATTTCAAACAAATTCACGTCATGCACAAAGATTCAAAAATATGTGAAATGATAGAAATGTTATCATTGAAACCACTTTTTCATCGCTCTAGAGACACTTGTTTTGAAGCTATAGGAGACAAAAACTAACCCTGACTCATAAACATCAATAAATAATACAGAAGAGCTGAAATGTAAAATAAAATCTACAATAAATACTGATACTAAGAAGATTTAATCAATACATAAACAAATTGAAGTACACGATAGAACGATCAGCCAATCATGAGGTTCAGAATCTCCATAAAGAATAAAAGGAGCTTTGATATAAGGAGGGTTTGTTATCAAAAAAGATTCATGATTGCCTTCTGTTAGCGTGACTCAGCGATTTCTGAACAAAACAAAACAGTGTTTCTCTTTTCTTGATGAGCTGTTAGTTGTTTAAGAGCCCCTGAGGAGCAACACTGATGCCTGTCATGGAGCACATGTGAGAGATGAGAGGCACGCAGACCTTAGCAGATTGTCTGACAATGTGTGCGAGTGAAAAAAAACAAAAAAACAGCCAGGGGCAAAGAGATAGTGTGTGAGAGAGAGACAGAGAAAGAGAGAAGATGGACTATTTTTCTCTAAATTTGAAAATTAATGTGTTTGTAAATTTTAACAACAGATGTTTGACCGTCAGTGCAAAAGGATGTAAACTGTAGCAGCAGTTAGTCCCATCAAGCAAAAGAAACACGGCAGTATAGAGAAAACGGTCCGAGTACTGAACTGGTGCCTAACTCCGCTCTCCATCTGCTTTTCATGGCCCGCATTTCTTCACTTATTTCTCTCCTCTGTGAACAATACCCTTCACACCTTCACATTATTTTATTTTTCCCCCATATCTGTCTCCTCAACTGTCTCTCCGATTCTCAGTCTCAAAATCACAAATTTTATCTTCATCTTTCTTATTCAGTCCCTTTCACATACACACACACACACACACTTACACACTAACACGCACACACAAAGATAGGGCAGTGGAGCATATGCAGTTGACGTTCTGCATCAGCGAAGCATAACAGTGTAGTTAGCCTGCTTGGCATGAAACAGAGCTCCTCAGCACGGAACAGCACAGAGCACAGCGGGCGGAGGGCTCCGTGGAGCAGCAGGGGCATCACACATACTTGACATATTGTGAGTTCTGGTCACTAGTATCACCTGTTGCTGCACATTGTTTTCACTCTTTCTTGATTTTAAATAAACGGAAAAAGGTATAAAGACAGAGAAACTTGGTTAATGAAATACTTGATTTCTCTTGATAAATGAATCCTCGGAGGACATTGGTCCCAGGACGCTGGAGCCAACTGTAGAGTTTTCCAGCTTGATGAAACACTTGTACAAAGAAGCACCCCCTTGGTAACTCCAGTTATGTGCAGTAAAAAGCTATTCAGATTCTCCTTTAACATAGGACACTCTGGACCATCCACAGAAGATAAGAAAAAGTGGCTTATTATTCTCTGCACCAATTGCATGTAAAGTCACATGTCTCTGCACCATGCATGACAACAAGATTTAAGCTGATTTGAAGATTGGTTCAATTAACTGAAAAATTATTTTCATTTAATCAAACTTGTGATCCATGCGGAGAGCTGAGAGATAGCTGAGAGCATGCAAAACATTGTACTTCATCTTTGGTAATTTACTGGTCGTTCCTTTTTGTTTAACTCCAACCTCAACCATCAATCAATCATTCATTTAGACCTTTGTGTCCTTTCATACTTTATAAATTGGTGCAGTTTAATTCCAACCTCTGCAGATTGCATGTGATCTCTGCTGTTTTAACAAAGTTAATGATGCTTTAGCAAAACACTATTATTTGCCTGTCGCTATTTAAGAGATTGGGAAAATTAATATTCATCTGAGACAGCTTAGGGTTTTTATTTGCAGTTGAAAGTGCCTCATGTATGACTTACAAGCTGATAGCCAAGAGGAGAGTAAAATAGTTATCACATCAGAAGATACAGGCTAATATAAATGAGATGCAACAGACTATTTCCTGCTTGTATTAAAAGTAACACAGCAAAACAGGAAACGATTTCACTCGGTGCATAACAGATTGAAAATATGCCTCAAATCTTATCAATGTCACATTTAGAAAACGTCTACAAAACCTGACAGGTGTTTTCAGATATTGACTGCAGCTCATAATCTGAAAAAAAAAACAACTTCACGATGCCACATTAACATCCACGTTTTCATCACTCATTTGGATGCGTGAAACAAAAGCGTAAGAATGCACCAAGCTTGTGGTTGTCCAGCTGTGGTAGATTGTAGTTTTTAGAAAACAGATTCACGTGACATGAGTGAAACCCGCTGAGTTTGAGCAGATGTTACTGATCAGCTTTCAGTCAGAGGATTTAGGAAGAGACAACACTGCGGTTGTCTTTTCTCACGTCCCTCTATACATTGCTCCTTAACTCTGTGATATTTTCAATCAAAGTTAAGTAGATAGTAAGAGACATAAGGCACATGTTTAGACCACTTGAACCCAACCCTTAGCTGTGATGGGTCAAGTGTCTCCAAGGGCCCATTTCGCATGCTACTTATAAAGCAAAGGCACCAAAGTGTTAATCCTTTTGCTAAGGCCAATGCATGTACGGATGGCAGAGAATTTTTTTTTCATTGTCAACATATTGATACTGGTGGAAAAATGCCAAACAGTAAGAGTTGAATGACAATGTTTTTTTTTTTAAATACAGGTATTTATTGTAATATTGTGAATTAGCTAATGCCTTAGTATTTACAAGAATATCACCAACCCATGAAAATCCACCTATGTACTCAAATGCTTGATTTTTAAGCAGACTGGAGACTGACCAGAATGAACAGAACCAAAGGCATGGTATATTTCCTCCACCACATCACCATTAACCAGCAAAATAATGAACATTTTATTAACCTCCAAAATGGCTGACCACAGAAGAATCTCATATACTAATCCATATGCACCATATTGCAGTTTGCTTTGCTCTGTTAATCTGAGATGTGCAACTCAACGCCTTGCTATAGTATGCAGAGAGAAGCTGTGACATGCCTTTTCAAGCTTGAGCCAAATCATCCAGTGATCTGTGCCAGACTTAATCTTAAGTCAAGCAGACTAATACGTTATGCCGCGCGATGCTTTGCTGTGCTTTACCGCACCATGGTCCTCCATGCTGAGCTGTGCAGAACCATACCACGCTGCGCTGAAATGGGATTTTTCATGTAATGCACCAGCTATACCTTAACTGTGTCGTCCCGTATCCCTCCCTCCCTGAGAACCGAGGGTGCTGGCATTGCTGCAGTGCTAACTTCCACACGCTCTGGTGATTAGGACAATAAAAGTCTTTAATGAGCATTTTGGAACAAAGCCACAGCCGTTTTGCGAGCCCTAAAAACGGTTTAACAGCAACTCTGACTCAATGAACCATCTACAGTGCTGGAAATATACAGCCATTGGCAAAGTGTTGTAAAGATTGTATAACAGCATCTTTTTTAGGTAAAAGTAATAGCTGTGTCAAATTGTGGCATGTCACCTGTTGGAAATGAGAAACAAAAGCACTAATTGCTGTTTTTACCCCAGCCCCAGCTCTCTACAGGGTTTCTACGTAGAACAGGTGGCTGCAGTGGCAAACATAATTGTTATACTAATGCTGTTTGGTTTACACCTTCTCTCTTAGTGCTGCACATTAAGCAGCTCAGAATTAACACAGAGCAATTTTCTGAGCTTTAGTTCTCGCTGCTGTACCACAATGGTTGAAAAAAAAAAGTGACTTATTTGTTCCTTTAAAGTGTGTCAAAGCCATAATGATTAAAATGCACATTTCTACTGCTTTTTATATGTAATTATGACATAGTTTATAACTTGTGTCATCATAATTTTGTTTTACAACCTAAATTACAAACAAAGTTGGGGGACTATGTAAAACATCCATGAAAACAGAATTTAATGACTAACAAATCACTGGAAGTGGTAAACCACATCAAAGCCAGCAACCATAATGGTATGGGGATGCTTAAGTGTTCATGATAAAGTACTCTTAAACATCTGGGAAGGCACTACTAATGTAGAACGATTTATTCATATATGTTCGAAGGGGTGTAAAGGCCCATGTATTTGTACTGGACTATTTATGTATGGGATTTATGGTGGGAGCCATATGTACTAAACTGAAAGCATGTGGAATAAAAAGTGCATGAAATCCAAGCTTCTGTATGGCTGGAAGATGGGAATGGACTGCAGCCTGCACAAGACATAATAAGCAAGAACTAGAAGACCCCCCACAGACATTAAGCTCTCCTGTCTGTGAACACAACGGTTTGCAATGTGATAATGTACAAAAACAAGTGGATATGACAAAAGCAGTTCACTGACACTGTTCGGTGGTAGTTGGGTACGTCGCTGACATTATATCAAACTTGTTAACACATTTGAAGCTGCAACATCAGTTTTGGGTAGTATCACGTTACTAGTAACGCCGTTATGTAAGGCCATAACTTTATTCAGTAACTAATCATGAAACGTAACTAATCATGTTACTTACACTGTTTCTTTTGGTGAGGATTACAATGGCACACAATTCCCGTAGCATTTTAGCGATCAATAAAGGTTAATTGAAAAAAAAAAAAAAGCACTTGTCACTCTCCAGTGTCACGCATGTAATCAAACACGCCATGAAGAGGACTGGACAGGTCAGGGAACGGCATGATGCTCATATTATATTTGAACTTGAGAGCAAAGGGAAAAACAACATTTCGGTAACACGTAACCTGTGTCCCTGGTCAAAAATCCTTTCTACAGCAAACTTCTGAAGCACCTAGAGGAGCGGCATGCTTCGACAAAGTTGGCAGCTAAGGTATCTAACGCTAACGCAGAATCTGAGACGAAGAGTCACAGCAGTGAGAACACACCCACTCCACCTGAGCAGCAGAGTTCGAAAGACAGACCCATAGCCTGGCACAACTTGATCAAACAATAGCACAGTATGTTTAATTGTTTATTTGGATCTCTTGTAGCACTATCAGGCTATTATTGCAAGAGTCCCATGATAAAATGTAGGTGTTAGTGTCAAGGTTTGTGTTGGTGCACAACAGATCATATTGCTTTAATAATTAGATTCAGTGACGTGGATGTAAATGAACTGAAGCGGTTGTTTTAATCAACAGTTTGTTTTATTCAGCAACAGTACAGAACTGAAATGATGGTTAGAGGGGAACTCAATCAATCCATCGTTTTTGTAATGGGAGCATTGGAGGAACTATCAGTTTACAGGAACTAAATAGTTTCTCTCTCAGTAACACATCACTTTTTGGTTTAAATAATTAAGTTACTGAGCTACTTTTTTTACAAAGTAAATCAGTAACTTTGACTAGTTACTACTTTTCGGTAAGTAGCACAACACTGTGCACCATACAGACATAAACATTACTGCCTGAAATACTATAGTCATACCAGCTCTAACAAAAGCACAGAGACTCTTTGTGTTGCGCATGTTTCCCTTACTGTACTGAAAATAAATCAAACCATGACTTCAAAACCGAGATACGCACTAAACTATGATACTGTAACATATGCTGCCATCCAGATGACACCATTCTCAGGGAAGACCTTGCCTATTTCTGCAAGAAACTGCCAAAACTACACTCTGCATCTATTACAACAGCATGGCTTTGAAGGCCGTTAAGAGTCTCAACTTCTTTGGGATTGAGGTTACACAAGAAAGCGCTCATTTGTCTTTGAACGTCTGATCCGTCATCTAAAAGTAATCAAAAGTATGATGTATTTTCAGGAGTTTCACACATTATTTAGTCCAGTCATGTCTCAATAAATCAAAGGATTTCTCTCTGCTTTTTTGTTCTCCTTATGGATTTGAAGAAGACAGCAGAGAGTGCTGGTACGCTTTCACTGAATCATCACTTTCTAATTTGGGAAGCCACACATCTGCTACTAATTAACGAGACTGATTGAATCTAGGCTTTTACACACACATGCACACAGGCAGACGCCAGACACACAGGCACACACCCGTTCCCACATGATCATTACAGAGAGGAAAAGTGCCACTCTGATTGGGCACACTCAAGTATTGATAGTGTTTATGGTGAAAATACTTATGAAATGGGTTGTACGTTCAGCTCCTTATAGATCTTTTAATGACAGGATGTGGGCATTATGGGAAGACAATCATGCACCAAGCAACAATGAGATGCAGGTCTTGGAATGGAAGTATTTATCTCTCTGTCTAATTATAAGCAATATATCTCATTTACATAGCCTGGAAATGGAAGAAGCCTTTTTTATGAAGCCAGAATGCTATTCAGAGACTCAGTCTGTGTGGCGTAATCACAGAAGTTATTGCATTAATCACAATTTACAGTTTGCTTTTAAGATGTTTTTCTCAAGAGGCAACACATTATCGGTACATCTAGTGCAGAGTAACTTCAAACAGTTTCAAATAACAGTTGAGTGCTCACTGCTCTTGTCTTTGTTTACACTGTAGATTTTCATCTGTTTACTTCCAACTCAAACTGTCATCCTTGGTATTAGAGTACTGTTTTTCTTTGCATGTTTCATATGTTCATGAAAATGTGTACCATTTTTCTACATGAAGCAAAGAACATCAATCTACACAAACACACAGTTGGGTTTCTCCTGGCTGACACTTGATATTGACACACACGCGCTAGTAATTGCACCTCTGAATACCATCTTGTTATCTGTTTGAGTGCTTTAACAGCTTTAACTATTACCAGTCTTTTGTACTGTATCAAAACATCTGTACATGAACACATAGGTTATCAAGCTTATTGCAGTACATGAATAGACGAGTTAAAATCTCTGTAATGCCAAACATGTGCATACAAACATACATGCGCTTTGTCAGGATAACAACTTGAGATTTGAATTGTTTGTTCAAATTCTTCTTTCTTGTAGGACTATGTGCCTTTTGTTGTACTTGCTGTGTGACCTCTTTTTACTCTCACGGTTCTGATTTAGATTAGATCAGATTAGATAAAATACTTTATTTATTATCATGTTATGTACAGTAATATACAGGATAAGTGAGTGAAAAAATGAACAATATATTGGCTGGATATCAGTATGGGGATGTTGGCTCTGTTTACAGATATCAGCCTTCTGGAAATAAGAACAAACTAGGGCCCCGGTGGGGCACTGTCGGGCCCGAGCCGCGTCGCGCCGCCCCCAGCGCGACCGCCTCCCCCTCCCGATCGCGTCACACTCAAGGTCCAAAGATGGTGTGCGCACTTGTCTGTGGTCATTTCCCATTATAATGAATGGGAGGCGCAGTTTCTACCAAAACGCTCGCTGCAGACAAACTACATGTCCTATTTGAAAAAAGTCTGGACCATGAGTGAGGGCACAAACACAGCTAGTATATATCCAAATGGCAAGTTGCTCCTCCTTTCGGTTTTGCAGAGAGAGCGATGCGTTTGAGCCATTGAGCGATGGGCAGGAAAAACTTGACTTTTTCTCCTGCCATGGGGGGGCGCTCTTTTGGGGTGAAAAAATTCCTTCACAAATGTGTTGATGGCTGGACATTGCATCATCCTAGAAAACTTGGAGGCCAGTGAGGACAAAAATAAAAAGTTATAAGACTTTTAAAAATGTGGATATTTGGGTCCTCTTTGGCGCCCCCTAGAACGTAAACTGTGGGGTGCAGCGTCATGATTTGTACAACTTTGAATGGCCATGGGGTGTAGATTGACCTGAGCAAATTTGAAGCCGATGGGACAAAAGATTTAGGAGGAGTTAGCGAAATTCCAATGTGTGCAGATCGGCAAAAAATGCGAAATAACCCTTTAACCGTACATTTGACAGATACGCCCGCACTGACTTTTTTGTAGATCTTATTGAGATACATGTGTGTGTCAAATTTTGTGTCATTTTGACAAAGCATAAAGGCGTGACAGTCAACAATGTGTATTTTCGCCTTAGGAGACAAGAAAAAATGGACTTTTTTCTCCTGCCATGGGGGGCGCTCTTTTGGCGAGTAAAAATTCCTTCACAAATGTGTTGATGGCTGGACATTGCATCATCCTAGAGAACTTGGAGGCCAGTGAGGACAAAAATAAAAAGTTATAAGACTTTTAAGACTGTGGATTTTTGGGTTATCTTTGGCGCCCCCTAGAACGTAAACCGTGGGGTGCAGCGTCATGATTTGTACAACTTTTAATGGCCATGGGGTGTAGATTGGCCTCAGCAAATGTGGTGCCTTTGGAACGAAAGCCTTCGGAGGAGTTAGCGAAATTCCAATGTGTGCGGATCGGCAAAAAATGCGAAATAGCCCTTTCACCGTACATTTGACAGATACGCCCGCACTGACTTTTTTGTAGATCTTATTGAGATACATGTGTGTGTCAATTTTTGTGTCAATATGACAAAGCGTAAAGGCGTGACAGTCAATAGTGTGAATTTTCGCCTTAGGAGACAAGAAAAAATGGACTTTTTTCTCCTGCCATGGGGGGGCGCTCTTTTGGGGAGTAAAAATTCCTTCACAAATGTGTTGATGGCTGGACATTGCATCATCCTAGAAAACTTGGAGGCCAGTGAGGACAAAAATAAAAAGTTATACGACTTTTAAGAATGTGGATTTCTGGGTTATCTTTGGCGCCCCCTAGAACGTAAACCGTGGGATGCAGCGTCATGATTTGTACAACTTTTAATGGCCATGGGGTGTAGATTGGCCTGAGCAAATTTGGTGCCGGTGGAACGAAAGCCTTCGGAGGAGTTAGCGAAATTCCAATGTGTGTGGATCGGCAAAAAATGCGAAATAGCCCTTTAACCGTACATTTGACAGATACGCCCGCACTGACTTTTTTGTAGATCTTATTGAGATACACGTGTGTGTCAAATTTTGTGTCATTTTGACAAAGCGTACAGGCGTGACACTCAATCATGTGAATTTTTCACCTTAGGGGGCGCTATGGAGCCATTTTGCATTTGATTTTTTGGGCGACTTCAGAATATCGAATTTTTCACCAGGCCCGGTCGTCCTGCCAAATTTCATGACTTTTCACCAGTGGGAAGTGGGCCATTTTCCAGTTCAAAGGGGCAGAAAAATAACTAGGGCCCCGTTGGGGCACTGGCGGGCCCGAGCCGTGTCGCGCCACCCCCAGCGCGACCGCCTACCCCTCCCGATTGCGTCACACTCAAGGTCCAAAGATGGTGTGCGCACTTGTCTGTGGTCATTTACCATTATAATGAATGGGAGGCGCAGTTTCTACCAAAACGCTCGCTGCAGACAAACTCCATGTCCTTTTTGAAAAAAGTCTGGACCATGAGTGAGGGCACAAACACAGCTAGTATATATCCAAATGGCAAGTTGCTCCTCCTTTCGGTTTTGCCGAGAGAGCGATGCGTTTGAGCCATTGAGCGATGGGCAGGAAAAACTTGACTTTTTCTCCTGCCATGGGGGGCGCTCTTTTGGGGAGTAAAAATTCCTTCACAAATGTGTTGATGGCTGGACATTGCATCATCCTAGAGAACTTGGAGGCCAGTGAGGACAAAAATAAAAAGTTATAAGACTTTTAAGACTGTGGATTTCTGGGTTATCTTTGGCGCCCCCTAGAACGTAAACCGTGGGGTGCAGCGTCATGATTTGTACAACTTTGAATGGACATGGGGTGTAGATTGACCTGAGCAAATTTGAAGCCGATGGGACAAAAGCTTTAGGAGGAGTTAGCCACATTCCAATGTGTGCGGATCGGCAAAAAATGCAAAATAACCCATTAACCGTACATTGAACAGATACGCTTGCATTGACTTTTTTGTAGATCTTATTGAGATACATGTGTGTGTCAAATTTTGTGTCATTTTGACAAAGCGTAAAGGCGTGACAGTCAACAATGTGTATTTTCGCCTTAGGAGACAAGAAAAAATGGACTTTTTTCTCCTGCCATGGGGGGGCGCTCATTGGCGAGTAAAAATTCCTTCACAAATGTGTTGATGGCTGGACATTGCATCATCCTAGAGAACTTGGAGGCCAGTGAGGACAAAAATAAAACGTTATAAGACTTTTAAGACTGTGGATATTTGGGTTATCTTTGGTGCCCCCTAGAACGTAAACCGTGGGGTGCAGCATCATGATTTGTACAACTTTTAATGGCCATGGGGTGTAGATTGGCCTGAGCAAATTTGGTGCCGGTGGAACGAAAGCCTTCGGAGGAGTTAGCGAAATTCCAATGTGTGCGGATCGGCAAAAAATGCGAAATAACCCTTTAACCGTACATTTGACAGATACGCCCGCACTGACTTTTTTGTAGATCTTATTGAGATACATGTTTGTGTCAAATTTTGTGTCATTTTGACAAAGCGTAAAGGTGTGACAGTCAATAGTGTGAATTTTCGCCTTAGGAGACAAGAAAAAATGGACTTTTTTCTCCTGCCATGGGGGGGCGCTCTTTTGGCGAGTAAAAATTCCTTCACAAATGTGTTGATGGCTGGACATTGCATCATCCTAGAAAACTTGGAGGCCAGTGAGGACAGAAATAAAAAGTTAAGACTTGTAAGAATGTGGATTTTTGGGTTATCTTTGGCGCCCCCTACAACGTAAACCGTGGGGTGCAGCGTCATGATTTGTACAACTTTGAATGGCCATGGGGTGTAGATTGGCCTGAGCAAATTTGGTGCCGGTGGAACCAAAGCTTTAGGAGGAGTTAGCCACATTCCAATGTGTGTGAATCAACCAAAAATGCGAAATAGCCCTTTAACCGTACATTTTGCAGACACGTGCGCATTGACTTTTTCGTAGATCTTATTGAGATACACGTGATTATCAAATTTTGTTTCAATATGACAAAGCGTACAGGCGTGACACTCAACAATGTGTATTTTCACCTTATAGGACAAGAAAAAATGGCCTTTTTTCTCCTGCCATGGGGGGGCGCTCTTTTGGGGAGTAAAAATTCCTTCACAAATATGTTGATGGCTGGACATTGCATCATCCTAGAAAACTTGGAGGCCAGTGAGGACAGAAATAAAAAGTTATAAGACTTGTAAGAATGTGGATTTTTGGGTTATCTTTGGCGCCCCCTACAACGTAAACCGTGGGGTGCAGCGTCATGATTTGTACAACTTTGAATGGCCATGGGGTGTAGATTGGCCTGAGCAAATTTGGTGCCGGTGGAACGAAAGCCTTCGGAGGAGTTAGCGAAATTCCAATGTGTGCGGATCGGCAAAAAATGCGAAATAGCCCTTTAAACGTACATTTGACAGATACGCCCGCACTGACTTTTTTGTAGATCTTATTGAGATACACGTGTGTGTCAAATTTTGTGTCATTTTGACAAAGCGTACAGGCGTGACACTCAATCATGTGAATTTTTCACCTTAGGGGGCGCTATGGAGCCATTTTGCATTTGATTGTTTGGGTGACTTCAGAATATCGAATTTTTCACCAGGCCCAGTCGTCCTGCCAAATTTCATGAGTTTTCACCAGTGGGAAGTGGGCCATTTTCCAGTTCAAAGGGGCAGAAAAATAATAAGAAGAAGAAGAAGAAAGAAGAATCCATCAGGAATAATAGGGCTCTCGCAGCTGCTTAGCAGCTACGCTCGGGCCCTAATAAGAAGAAGACTAGGACCCCGTTGGGGCACTAGCGGGCCCGAGCCGTGTCGCGCCCCCCCCCCCAACGCGCTGCCTCCCCGTCCCATTTGTGTCCTCTGGCCATCGCCCTCTCTGGTAACGCCCATCACTGCAAAGACCCTTTTCCTTCATCGGCGTTTGCTGTTCTTCCTGCCAGTGCGTGTTGCTTTCACTTACACTTGCCACAGCCAGCCTCGTGAGTGCCTAGCCTATTGGTTATCACTGTCACCTACACAGGACAGTCATTACCTTTCTATTAATACTTTGTGTTTTAATTTCACATTAATTTCCATATTGTATAAACGACTGGAAAAAACTTGAGCCCCTGCCCCTGTATAATCATGTGCATGTCTCTGTTCTAGCTCCAAGGTGAATCTTCACTGCTCATGTTCTCCTCAGAAGCACTCACTTCACTCCCCTCAGGTTACTGTACACATGCACCAACTGCCTGCTTCAGGTTTGGATGGAGCTTCATGGTTGTCTTTTGGAGAAATGACCAGTCAAGTTGTGTTTGAAATTTGATTTTTTTCAGGGGCAAAAGGAGCCTCTGCATTCTTGTCAAATATGTAAATAGCATGTTTTTGCAGGTGCTAAAAAACAGACTCTAAGTGTGTGTGTGTGTGTGTGTGTGTGTGTGTGTGTGTGTGTGTGTGTGTGCGTGTGTGTGTCTGTGTGTGCGTTCAAGTCACATGACATATTTAACCGGATGTAGCTGCAAGACGGAGCCTCGTTGACTCTCCGTTTCAACTTATCTCAAAAGTGAGGACCTCAACCTATATACCAGTTTTTAAATTGTGTTGATAGGCCAAATAAAACCAGAGTTATGATAAATTATGTCCGCGATACTTTTTTTCTGCTTATTTTGATCACGTTCGGCGCTCGATCGCGCTGTATGAGACAGGAAAACATAGCATGCAGACATTAGCGACAGGTCTTACAGGCGGAAAAGGCTTGCCAAAAGAAAAAAAAAACACACCACAACATCTCTCCTATTGGTGGAAAACTTCACCACAACAACCAATCCAAAATTATATGGTGACTGATTGACAAGGGGCGGGCGCTTACGTTCTTCCTGCAACATGAGAAGCGAGGGAGGGACTCTCAGCAGGGATGCAGTCTGGGACACGTAGTTGCAAACCTAGCGACTTTGTTGTTAGATTCAATGACTTTTCAGACCCCCTAACGATATTTTTTTAGAAAGAAAGGGACTTTTATCGACTTCTTCTGGAGTTTAGAGACTCTGACATGAAGCAGGCTTTCCTTACTGAGGAGTTAGCAACGCTGCTAAGGGTGCAGAGCCACACATGCGCTCAGAGCTCTGCATGGGAGACTGAAGCTGACAGAGCTGCAGCAGTTAGCAGGTTTCACCCTCAGAGACCACCAGGGGTTCATGTTGAGGCATTTAAATTTTTTTTTTTTGTGCCATAGACACTGTCAGCACAATCTGCAGTTACACTAACAAAAATGCTGCAAAAAACAAAGAATTATGGAAAAATTACACATGGACTGACATAGAGGAGGATCTACACAAGTTTTTTACATCATGTTTTACATCATGCATCATTTACATCATGTTTTTTTGTAGTGGCATAAATAAAAAGTGACATTTGTGAGACTATACAGTGTTTTGTAAATAATTTTACAAAGAACGCCTGGGCCATTGCCTGCATTTTGATGTAAATAGAGGTAAATCACTATGTTCTTTGTTAAAAATTTGCATATGTTTTGAAGTTTACAATTTTTATTTGAAGTTTAAGTTTTAAAAACAGTTCATCACACATATTTGTGGTTTAATTTCACATTAATTTCCATATTGTATAAATGACTGGAAAAAACTTGAGCCCCTGCCCCTGTATAATCATGTGCACGTCCCTGTTCTAGCTCCAAGGTGAATCTTCACTGCTCATGTTCTCCTCAGAAATAGTCACCTCACTCCCCTCAGGTTACTGTACACATGCACCAACTATCTGCTTCAGGTTTGAAATGGAGCTTCATGGTTGTCTTTTGGAGAAATGAACAGTCAAGTTGTGTTTGAAATTTGATTTTTTTCAGGGGCAAAAGGAAGCCTCTGCATTCTTGTCAAATATGTAAACAGCATGTTTTTGCAGGTGCTAAAAAACAGACTCTGAGTGTGTGTGTGTGTCTGTGTGTGTGTGTGTGTGTGTGTGTGTGTATGTTGGCGTGTGTGTATATGTGTGTGTATCCTGCAGTACTCTGTACTCCTGCAGTGGCCAAAAAGACTTTTAAGAATGTGGATTTTTGGGTCATCTTTGGCGCCCCCTAGAACTGCAGTACTCTGTACTCCTGCAGTGGCCAAAATGACTTTTAAGAATGTGGATTTTTGGGTCATCTTTGGCGCCCCCTAGAACGTAAACCGTGGGGTGCAGCGTCATGATTTTTACAACTTTGAATGGGCATGGGGTGTAGATTGGCCTGAGCAAATTTGGTATCGGTGGGACGAAAGCCTTAGGAGGAGATAGCCACATTCCAATGTGTGCGAATCGGCAAAAAATGCGAAATAGCCCTTTAACCGTACATTATACAGATACGCGCTTTTTGACTTTTTCGTAGATCTAATTGAGATTCACGTGATTGTCAAATTTTGGGTCAATATGACAAAGCTTATAGGCGTGACACTCAACAATGTGTATTTTCATGTTAGGGGACAAGAAAAAATGGACTTTTTTCACCTGCCATGGGGGGGCGCTCTTTTGGGGAGTAAAAATTCCTTCACAAATGTGTTGATGGCTGGACATTGCATCATCCTAGAAAACTTGGAGGCCAGTGAGGACAAAAATAAAAAGTTATAAGACTTTTAAGAATGTGGATTTTTGGGTTATCTTTGGCGCCCCCTAGAACGTAAACCGTGGGGTGCAGCGTCATGATTTGTACAACTTTTAATGGCCATGGGGTGTAGATTGGCCTGAGCAAATGTGGTGCCGGTGGAACGAAAGCCTTCGGAGGAGTTAGCGAAATTCCAATGTGTGCGGATCGGCAAAAAATGCGAAATAGCCCTTTAACCGTACATTTGACAGATACGCCCGCGCTGACTTTTTTGTAGATCTTATTGAGATACACGTGTGTGTCAAATTTTGTGTCATTTTGACAAAGCGTACAGGTGTGACACTCAATCATGTGAATTTTTCACCTTAGGGGGCGCTATGGAGCCATTTTGCATTTGATTGTTTGGGCGACTTCAGAATATCGAATTTTTCACCAGGCCCGGTCGTCCTGCCAAATTTCATGAGTTTTCACCAGTGGGAAGTGGGCCATTTTCCAGTTCAAAGGGGCAGAAAAATAATAAGAAGAAGAAGAAGAAACTAGGACCCCGTTGGGGCACTGTCGGGCCCGAGCCGTGTCGCGCCGCCCCCAGTGCGACCGCCTCCCCCTCCCGATCGCGTCACACTCAAGATCCAAAGATGGTGTGCGCACTTGTCTGTGGTCATTTCCTATTATAATGAATGGGAGGCGCAGTTTCTACCAAAACACTCGCTGCAGACAAACTTCATGTCCTATTTGAAAAAAGTCTGGACCATGAGTGAGGGCACAAACACAGCTATGATATATCGAAATGGCAGGTTGCTCCTCCTTACGGTGTTGCCTGGAGAGCGATGCGATTGAGCCATTGAGCGATGGGCAGGAAAAACTTAACTTTTTCTCCTGCCATATGGGGGGGGGGGTGGATTCTTTGAAGAATGTGGATTTTTGGGTCATCTTTGGCGCCCCCTAGAACGTAAACCGTGGGGTGCAGCGTCATGATTTTTACAACTTTGAATGGCCATGGGGTGTAGATTGGCCTGAGCAAATTTGGTGTCAGTGGGACGAAAGCCTTAGGAGGAGTTAGCCACATTCCAATGTGTGCGAATCGGCAAAAAATGCAAAATAGCCCTTGAACCGTACATTTGACAGATACGCGCGAATCGACTCTTTTGTAGATCTTATTGAGATACATGTGTGTGTCAATTTTTGTGTCATTTTGCCAAAGCGTACAGGTGTTACACTCAACAATGTGTATTTTCACCTTAGGGGACAAGAAAAAATGGACTTTTTTCTCCTGCCATGGGGGGGCGCTCTTTTGGGGAGTAAAAATTCCTTCACAAATGTGTTGATGGCTGGACATTGCATCATCCTAGAAAACTTGGAGGCCAGTGAGGGCAAAAATAAAAAGTTATAAGACTTTTAAATATGTGGATCTTAGGGTTATCTTTGGCGCCCCCTAGAACCTAAACCGTGGGGTGCAGCGTCATGATTTGAATAACTTTTAATGGCCATGGGGTGTAGATTGGCCTGAGCAAATGTGGTGCCGGTGGAACGAAAGCCTTCGGAGGAGTTAGCGAAATTCCAATGTGTGCGGATCGGCAAAAAATGCGAAATAACCCTTTAACCGTACATTTGACAGATACGGCCGCACTGACTTTTTTGTAGATCTTATTGAGATACATGTGTGTGTCAATTTTTGTGTCATTTTGACAAAGCGTACCGGCGTGACAGTGAATAGTGTGAATTTTCACCTTAGGGGGCGCTATGGAGCCATTTTGCATTTTCTTGTTTGGGCGACTTCGGAATATCAAATTTTTCACCAGGCCCGGTCGTCCTGCCAAATTTCATGAGTTTTCGCCAGTGGGAAGTGGGCCATTTTCCAGTTCAAAGGGGAGGAAAAATAATAATAATAATAACAAAAGAAGGAAACTACAGGAACAAGAGGGCTCTCGCAGCTGCTTAGCAGCTACGCTCGGGCCCTAACTAGGGCCCCGTTGGGGCACTGGCGGGCCCGAGCTGTGTCGCCCCCCCCCCCCCCCCCAACGCGCTGCCTCCCCGTCCCATTCGCGTCCTCTGGCCATCGTCCTCTCTGGTAACGCCCATCACTGCAAAGACCCTTTTCCTTCATCGGCGTTTGCTGTTCTTCCTGCCAGTGCGTGTTGCTTTCACTTACACTTGCCACAGCCAGCCTTGTGAGTGCCTAGCCTATTGGATATCACTGTCACCTACACAGGACAGTCATTACCTTTCTATTAATACTTTGTTTTTTAATTTCACATTAATTTCCATATTGTATAAACGACTGGAAAAAACTTGAGCCCCTGCCCCCGTATAATCATGTGCACGTCCCTGTTCTCGCTCCAAGGTGAATCTTCACTGCTCATGTTCTCCTCAGAAGCAGTCACCTCACTCCCCTCAGGTTACTGTACACATGCACCAACTGCCTGCTTCAGGTTTGGATGGAGCTTCATGGTTGTCTTTTGGAGAAATGAGCAGTCAAGTTGTGTTAGAAATTTGATTTTTTTCAGGGGCAAAAGGAAGCCTCTGCATTGTTGTCAAATATGTAAATAGCATGTTTTTGCAGGTGCTAAAAAACAGACTCTGAGTGTGTGTGTGTGTGTGTGTGTGTGTCTGTGTGTGTGTGTGTCTGTGTGTGTGTATCCTGCAGTACTCTGTACTCCTGCAGTGGCCAAAACGACTTTTAAGAATGTGGATATTTGGGTCATCTTTGGCGCCCCCTAGAACGTAAACCATGGGGTGCAGCGGCATGATTTTTACAACTTTGAATGGCCATGGGGTGTAGATTGGCCTGAGCAAATTTGGTGTCAGTGGGACGAAAGCCTTAGGAGGAGTTAGCCACATTCCAATGTGTGCGAATCGGCAAAAAATGCAAAATAGCCCTTTAGCCGTACATTTTACAGATACGCGCCCATTGACTTTTTCGTAGATCTTATTGAGATACACGTGTGTGTCAAATTTTTTGTCAATATGACAAAGCGTACAGGCGTGACACTCAACAATGTGTATTTTCACCTTAGGGGACAAGAAAAAATGGACTTTTTATTCCTGCCATGGGGGGGCGCTCTTTTGGGGAGTAAAAATTCCTTCACAAATGTGTTGATGGCTGGACATTGCATCATCCTAGAAAACTTGGAGGCCAGTGAGGACAAAAAAAAAAAATTATAAAACTTTTAAGAATGTGGATTTTTGGGTTATTTTTGGCGCCCCCTAGAACCTAAACCATGGGGTGCAGCATTATGATTTGTACAACTTTGAATGGCCATGGAGTGTAGATTGGCCTGAGCAAATGTGGTGCCGGTGGAACGAAAGCCTTCGGAGGAGTTAGCGAAATTCCAATGTGTGCGGATCTGCAAAAAATGCAAAATAACCCTTTAACCGTACATTTGACAGATACGCCCGCACTGACTTTTTTGTAGATCTTATTGAGATACATGTGTGTGTCAATTTTTGTGTCAATATGACAAAGCGTACAGGCGTGACAGTCAATAGTGTGAATTTTCACCTTAGGGGGCGCTATGGAGCCATTTTGCATTTTCTTGTTTGGGCGACTTCAGAATATCGAATTTTTCACCAGGCCCGGTCGTCCTGCCAAATTTCATGAGTTTTCGCCAGTGGGAAGTGGGCCATTTTCCAGTTTAAAGCGGAGGAAAAATAATAATAACTAGGACCCCGTTGGGGCACTGGCGGGCCCGAGCTGTGTCGCGTCCCCCCCCCAACGCGCTGCCTCCCCGTCCCATTTGTTTCCTCTGGCCATCGCCCTCTCTGGTAACGCCCATCACTGCAAAGACCCTTTTCCTTCATCGGCGTTTGCTGTTCTTCCTGCCAGTGCGTGTTGCTTTCACTTACACTTGCCACAGCCAGCCTCGTGAGTGCCTAGCCTATTGGATATCACTGTCATCTACACAGGACAGTCATAACCTTTCTATTAATACTTTGTTTTTTAATTTCACATTAATTTCCATATTGTATAAATGACTGGAAAAAACTTGAGCCCCTGCCCCTGTATAATCATGTGCACGTCCCTGTTCTAGCTCCAAGGTGAATCTTCACTGCTCATGTTCTCCTCAGAAATAGTCACCTCACTCCCCTCAGGTTACTGTACACATGCACCAACTATCTGCTTCAGGTTTGGATGGAACTTCATGGTTGTCTTTTGGAGAAATGAACAGTCAAGTTGTGTTTGAAATTTGATTTTTTTCAGGGGCAAAAGGAAGCCTCTGCATTCTTGTCAAATATGTAAACAGCATGTTTTTGCAGGTGCTAAAAAACAGACTCTGAGTGTGTATGTGTGTGTGTGTGTGTGTGTGTGTGTGTGTGTGTGTGTGTGTGTGTGTGTGTGTGGTTGGCGTGTGTGTATATGTGTGTGTATCCTGCAGTACTCTGTACTCCTGCAGTGGCCATAAAGACTTTTAAGAATGTGGATTTTTGGGTCATCTTTGGCGCCCCCTAGAACTGCAGTACTCTGTACTCCTGCAGTGGCCAAAATGACTTTTAAGAATGTGGATTTTTGGGTCATCTTTGGCGCCCCCTAGAACGTAAACCGTGGGGTGCAGCGTCATGATTTTTACAACTTTGAATGGGCATGGGGTGTAGATTGCCCTGAGCAAATTTGGTATCAGTGGGACGAAAGCCTTAGGAGGAGATAGCCACATTCCAATGTGTGCGAATCGGCAAAAAATGCGAAATAGCCCTTTAACCGTACATTATACAGATACGCGCTCTTTGACTTTTTCGTAGATCTAATTGAGATACACATGATTGTCAATTTTTGTGTCAATATGACAAAGCGTTCAGGCGTGACACTCAACAATGTGTATTTGCACCTTAGGGGACAAGAAAAAATGGACTTTTTTCTCCTGCCATGGGGGGGCGCTCTTTTGGGGAGTAAAAATTCCTTCACAAATGTGTTGATGGCTGGACATTGCATCATCCTAGAAAACTTGGAGGCCAGTGAGGGCAAAAATAAAAAGTTATAAAACTTTTAAGAATGTGGATTTTAGGGTTATTTTTGGCGCCCCCTAGAACCTAAACCATGGGGTGCAGCATCATGATTTGTACAACTTTGAATGGCCATGGAGTGTAGATTGGCCTGAGCAAATGTGGTGCCGGTGGACCGAAAGCCTTAGGAGGAGTTAGCGAAATTCCAATGTGTGCGGATCTGCAAAAAATGCGAAATAACCCTTTAACCGTACATTTGACAGATACGCCCGCACTGACTTTTTTGTAGATCTTATTGAGATACATGTGTGTGTCAATTTTTGTGTCAATATGACAAAGCGTACAGGCGTGACAGTCAATAGTGTGAATTTTCACCTTAGGGGGCGCTATGGAGCCATTTTGTATTTTATTGTTTGGGCGACTTCAGAATATCAAATTTTTCACCAGGCCCGGTCGTCCTGCCAAATTTCCTGAGTTTTCGCCAGTGGGAAGTGGGCCATTTTCCAGTTTAAAGCGGAGGAAAAATAATAATAACTAGGGCCCCGGTGGGGCACTGTCGGGCCCGAGCCGCGTCGCGCCGCCCCCAGCGCGACCGCCTCCCCCTCCCGATCGCGTCACACTCAAGGTCCAAAGATGGTGTGCGCACTTGTCTGTGGTCATTTCCCATTATAATGAATGGGAGGCGCAGTTTCTACCAAAACACTCGCTGCAGACAAACTTCATGTCCTATTTGAAAAAAGTCTGGACCATGAGTGAGGGCACAAACACAGCTATGATATATCGAAATGGCAGGTTGCTCCTCCTTACGGTGTTACCTGGAGAGCGATGCGATTGAGCCATTGAGCGATGGGCAGGGTAAACTTGACTTTTTCTCCTGCCTTGGGGGGGGGATGTGGATTCCTTTAAGAATGTGGATTTTTGGGTCATCTTTGGCGCCCCCTAGAACGTAAACCGTGGGGTGCAGCGTCATGATTTTTACAACTTTGCATGGCCATGGGGTGTAGATTGGCCTGAGCAAATTTGGTGTCAGTGGGATGAAAGCCTTAGGAGGAGTTAGCCACATTCCAATGTGTGCGAATCGGCAAAAAATGCAAAATAGCCCTTTAACCGTACATTTGACAGATACGCGCGCATTGACTTTTTTGTAGATCTTATTGAGATACACGTGTGTGTCAAATTTTTTGTCAATACGACAAAGCGTACAGGCGTGACAGTCAATAGTGTGAATTTCCACCTTAGGGGACAAGAAAAAATTGACTTTTTTCTCCTGCCATGGGGGGGCGCTCTTTTGGGGAGTAAAAATTCCTTCACAAATGTGTTGATGGCTGGACATTGCATCATCCTAGAAAACTTGGAGGCCAGTGAGGACAAAAATAAAAAGTTATAAGACTTTTAAATATGTGGATTTTAGGGTTATCTTTGGCGCCCCCTAGAACCTAAACCGTGGGGTGCAGCGTCATGATTTGAATAACTTTTAATGGCCATGGGGTGTAGATTGGCCTGAGCAAATGTGGTGCCGGTGGAACGAAAGCCTTCGGAGGAGTTAGCGAAATTCCAATGTGTGCGGATCGGCAAAAAATGCGAAATAACCCTTTAACCGTACATTTGACAGATACGGCCGCACTGACTTTTTTGTAGATGTTATTGAGATACATATGTGTGTCAATTTTTGTGTCAATATGACAAAGCGTACAGGCGTGACAGTCAATAGTGTGAATTTCCACCTTAGGGGGCGCTATGGAGCCATTTTGCATTTTATTGTTTGGGCGACTTCAGAATATCGAATTTTTCACCAGGCCCGGTCGTCCTGCCAAATTTCATGAGTTTTCGCCAGTGGGAAGTGGGCCATTTTCCAGTTCAAAGGGGAGGAAAAATAATAATAATAATAATAATAACAAAAGAAGGAAACTACAGGAACAAGAGGGCTCTCGCAGCTGCTTAGCAGCTACGCTCGGGCCCTAATAATAACAAAAGAAGAATCCATCAGGAACAAGAGGGCTCTCGCAGCTGCTTAGCAGCTACGCTCGGGCCCTAATAACAAAAGAAGAATCCATCAGGAACAAGAGGGCTCTCGCAGCTGCTTAGCAGCTACGCTCGGGCCCTAAGAAGAATCCATCAGGAATAATAGGGCTCTCGCAGCTGCTTAGCAGCTACGCTCGGGCCCTAAAGAAGAACTAGGGCCCCGTTGGGGCACTGGCGGGCCCGAGCTGTGTCGCCCCCCCCCCCCCCAACGCGCTGCCTCCCCGTCCCATTCGCGTCCTCTGGCCATCGTCCTCTCTGGTAACGCCCATCACTGCAAAGACCCTTTTCCTTCATCGGCGTTTGCTGTTCTTCCTGCCAGTGCGTGTTGCTTTCACTTACACTTGCCACAGCCAGCCTTGTGAGTGCCTAGCCTATTGGATATCACTGTCACCTACACAGGACAGTCATTACCTTTCTATTAATACTTTGTTTTTTAATTTCACATTAATTTCCATATTGTATAAACGACTGGAAAAAACTTGAGCCCCTGCCCCCGTATAATCATGTGCACGTCCCTGTTCTCGCTCCAAGGTGAATCTTCACTGCTCATGTTCTCCTCAGAAGCAGTCACCTCACTCCCCTCAGGTTCCTGTACACATGCACCAACTGCCTGCTTCAGGTTTGGATGGAGCTTCATGGTTGTCTTTTGGAGAAATGAGCAGTCAAGTTGTGTTAGAAATTTGATTTTTTTCAGGGGCAAAAGGAAGCCTCTGCATTGTTGTCAAATATGTAAATAGCATGTTTTTGCAGGTGCTAAAAAACAGACTCTGAGTGTGTGTGTGTGTGTGTGTGTGTGTGTGTGTGTGTGTGTGTGTGTGTCTGTGTGTGTGTGTGTCTGTGTGTGTGTATCCTGCAGTACTCTGTACTCCTGCAGTGGCCAAAACGACTTTTAAGAATGTGGATATTTGGGTCATCTTTGGCGCCCCCTAGAACGTAAACCATGGGGTGCAGCGGCATGATTTTTACAACTTTGAATGGCCATGGGGTGTAGATTGGCCTGAGCAAATTTGGTGTCAGTGGGACGAAAGCCTTAGGAGGAGTTAGCCACATTCCAATGTGTGCGAATCGGCAAAAAATGCAAAATAGCCCTTTAGCCGTACATTTTACAGATACGCGCCCATTGACTTTTTCGTAGATCTTATTGAGATACACGTGTGTGTCAAATTTTTTGTCAATACGACAAAGCGTACAGGCGTGACACTCAACAATGTGTATTTTCACCTTAGGGGACAAGAAAAAATGGACTTTTTATTCCTGCCATGGGGGGGCGCTCTTTTGGGGAGTAAAAATTCCTTCACAAATGTGTTGATGGCTGGACATTGCATCATCCTAGAAAACTTGGAGGCCAGTGAGGACAAAAAAAAAAATTTATAAAAATTTTAAGAATGTGGATTTTTGGGTTATTTTTGGCGCCCCCTAGAACCTAAACCATGGGGTGCAGCATTATGATTTGTACAACTTTGAATGGCCATGGAGTGTAGATTGGCCTGAGCAAATGTGGTGCCGGTGGAACGAAAGCCTTCGGAGGAGTTAGCGAAATTCCAATGTGTGCGGATCGGCAAAAAATGCAAAATAACCCTTTAACCGTACATTTGACAGATACGCCCGCACTGACTTTTTTGTAGATCTCATTGAGATACATGTGTGTGTCAATTTTTGTGTCAATATGACAAAGCGTACAGGCGTGACAGTCAATAGTGTGAATTTTCACCTTAGGGGGCGCTATGGAGCCATTTTGCATTTTCTTGTTTGGGCGACTTCAGAATATCGAATTTTTCACCAGGCCCGGTCGTCCTGCCAAATTTCATGAGTTTTCGCCAGTGGGAAGTGGGCCATTTTCCAGTTTAAAGCGGAGGAAAAATAATAATAACTAGGACCCCGTTGGGGCACTGGCGGGCCCGAGCCGTGTCCTCTGGCCATCGCCCTCTCTGGTAACGCCCATCACTGCAAAGACCCTTTTCCTTCATCGGCGTTTGCTGTTCTTCCTGCCAGTGCGTGTTGCTTTCACTTACACTTGCCACAGCCAGCCTCGTGAGTGCCTAGCCTATTGGATATCACTGTCACCTACACAGGACAGTCATTACCTTTCTATTAATACTTTGTGTTTTAATTTCACATTAATTTCCATATTGTATAAACGACTGGAAAAAACTTGAGCCCCTGCCCCTGTATAATCATGTGCATGTCTCTGTTCTAGCTCCAAGGTGAATCTTCACTGCTCATGTTCTCCTCAGAAGCACTCACCTCACTCCCCTCAGGTTACTGTACACATGCACCAACTGCCTGCTTCAGGTTTGGATGGAGCTTCATGGTTGTCTTTTGGAGAAATGACCAGTCAAGTTTGTGTTTGAAATTTGATTTTTTTCAGGGGCAAAAGGAGCCTCTGCATTCTTGTCAAATATGTAAATAGCATGTTTTTGCAGGTGCTAAAAACCAGACTCTGAGTGTGTGTGTGTGCGTGTGTGTGTGTGTGTGTGTGTGTGTGTGTGTGTGCGTTCAAGTCACATGACATATTTAACCGGATGTAGCTGCAAGACGGAGCCTCGTTGACTCTCCGTTTCAATTTATCTCAAAAGTGAGGACCTCAACCTATATACCAGTTTTTAAATTGTGTTGATAGGCCAAATAAAACCAGAGTTATGATAAATTATGTCCGCGATACTTGTTTTCTGCTTATTTTGATCACGTTCGGCGCTCGATCGCGCTGTATGAGACAGGAAAACATAGCATGCACACATTAGCGACAGGTCTTACAGGCGGAAAAGGCTTGCCAAAGGAAAAAAAAAACACACCACAACATCTCTCCTATTGGTGGAAAACTTCACCACAACAACCAATCCAAAATTATATGGTGACTGATTGACAAGGGGCGGGAACTTACGTTCTTCCTGCAATATGAGAAGGGAGGGAGGGACTCTCAGCAGGGATGCAGTCTGGGACACGTAGTTGCAAACCTAGCGACTTTGTTGTTAGATTCAATGACTTTTCAGACCCCCTAACGACTTTTTTTTAGAAAGAAAGGGACTTTTATTGACTTCTTCTGGAGTTTAGAGACTCTGACATGAAGCAGGCTTTCCTTACTGAGGAGTTAGCAACGCTGCTAAGGGTGCAGAGCCACACATGCGCTCCGAGCTCTGCATGGGAGACTGAAGCTGACAGAGCTGCAGCAGTTAGCAGGTTTCACCCTCAGAGACCACCAGGGGTTCATGTTGAGGCATTTTCAGTTTTTTTTTTTTTTTGCCATAGACACTGTCAGCACAATCTGCAGTTACACTAACAAAAATGCTGCAAAAAACAAAGAATTATGGAAAAATTACACATGGACTAACATAGAGGAGGATCTACACAAGTTTTTTACATCATGTTTTACATCATGCATCATTTACATCATGTTTTTTTGTAGTGGCATAAATAAAAAGTGACATTTGTGAGACTATACAGTGTTTTGTAAATAATTTTACAAAGAACACCTGGGCCATTGCCTGCATTTTGATGTCAATAGAGGTAAATTACTATGTTCTTTGTTAAAAATTTGCATATGTTTTGAAGTTTACAATTTTTATTTGAAGTTTAAGTTTTAAAAACAGTTCATCACACATATTTGTGGTTTTCACAGTAAAAACGTTACTTTTTTCCACTCGGATTTTATGTTTTGTGTGTGAATTTGGGTCCAATGTGTAAATATAGTATGTCAAAATGATAAAATAACTGTAAATTGACACAGGTGAGGTTGTGCTGAAAAAAATGATACCAGGCAAGGCAAGGTAAAAATTTTAAGAGGAAATATAAAAGGTAAAATCTGAAGTAGTCAAAAACGGCCAATAGTGACTCACAGACTCCACAGACAAGTCCCTTTGGCGCCACTCAGTGGGCAAAACTACTAAAACGTAAAACCGTGGGGTGCAGCGTCATGATTTTTACAACTTTGAATGGCCATGGAGTGTAGATTGGCCTGAGCAAATTTGGTGTCAGTGGGACGAAGGCCTTAGGAGGAGTTAGCGAAATTCCAATGTGTGCGAATTGGCAAAAAATGCAAAATAGCCCTTTTACCGTACATTATACAGATACGCGCTCTTTGACTTTTTCGTAGATCTAATTGAGATACACATGATTGTCAATTTTTGTGTCATTTTGCCAAAGCGTACAGGCGTGACAGTCAACAATGTGTATTTTCACCTTAGGGGACAAGAAAAAATGGACTTTTTTCTCCTGCCATGGGGGGGCGCTCTTTTAGGGAGTAAAAATTCCTTCACAAATGTGTTGATGGCTGGACATTGCATCATCCTAGAAAACTTGGAGGCCAGTGAGGACAAAAATAAAAAGTTAAAAGACTTTTAAAAATGTGGATTTTTGGGTTATCTTTGGCGCCCCCTAGAACGTAAACCGTGGGGTGCAGCGTCATGATTTGAATAACTTTTAATGGCCATGGGGTGTAATTTGGCCTGAGCAAATGTGGTGCCGGTGGAACGAAAGCCTTCGGAGGAGTTAGCGAAATTCCAATGTGTGCGAATCGGCAAAAAATGCGGAATAACCCTTTAACCGTACATTAGACAGATACGCGCGCATGGACTTTTTTGTAGATCTTATTGAGATACATGTGTGTGTCAATTTTTGTGTCATTTTGCCAAAGCGTACAGGCGTGACACTCAACAATGTGTATTTTCACCTTAGGGGACAAGAAAAAATGGACTTTTTTCTCCTGCCATGGGGGGGCGCTCTTTTGGGGAGTAAAAATTCCTTCACAAATGTGTTGATGGCTGGACATTGCATCATCCTAGAAAACTTGGAGGCCAGTGAGGGCAAAAATAAAAAGTTATAAGACTTTTAAAAATGTGGATTTTAGGGTTATCTTTGGCGCCCCCTAGAACCTAAACCGTAGGGTGCAGCGTCATGATTTGAATAACTTTTAATGGCCATGGGGTGTAGATTGGCCTGAGCAAATGTGGTGCCGGTGGAACGAAAGCCTTCGGAGGAGTTAGCGAAATTCCAATGTGTGCGGATCGGAAAAAAATGCGGAATAACCCTTTAACCGTACATTTGACAGATACGCCCGCACTGACTTTTTTGTAGATCTTATTGAGATACATGTGTGTGTCAATTTTTGTGTCATTTTGACAAAGCGTACAGGCGTGACAGTCAATAGTGTGAATTTTCACCTTAGGGGGCGCTATGGAGCCATTTTGCATTTTCTTGTTTGGGCGACTTCGGAATATCAAATTTTTCACCAGGCCCGGTCGTCCTGCCAAATTTCATGAGTTTTCGCCAGTGGGAAGTGGGCCATTTTCCAGTTCAAAGGGGAGGAAAAAGAAAAAAGAAACAAAGAAAAACCACTTGGGGAATAATAGGGCTCTCGCAGCTGCTTAGCAGCTACGCTCGGGCCCTAATAACAAAAGAAGAATCCATCAGGAACAAGAGGGCTCTCGCAGCTGCTTAGCAGCTACGCTCGGGCCCTAAAGAAGAATCCATCAGGAATAATAGGGCTCTCGCAGCTGCTTAGCAGCTACGCTCGGGCCCTAATAAATAAATAAATCACATATAAACAAACAAACAAGCCAAAAAACAGTAAACTACTGTGATTTTGGGGCTTATGTAAACCAACATAATAAAAAAAGGAATACAGACGCTAAATTATAGCCAAGTTACAGAGGATTCATTTGAGCTTGGGGATGGGGTTATGGAAATCATGACAAGGGTAAAACAAGCAATTAAGAGGAGAGAGGGCTATGAACAAAGTTATTTCTTAATGCTGGGATCAGATTAATCCCTGTCACTGACAAGAGATAAGAGCTAAAATCACATATGTATATGGAAGAAATATTTGAGTTGATTTATCACCTCTAGCCCCAAATTTAACAGCAAATTAAATGATTAAAGTATTTATTTACCTATTTATTTAAAGTCTGCAGAAATGTATCATTAGAGAGAAGAAGGACATTGTAGGGGGTCGGCACATGGTTCTGGCCATGAGAATAATGTGGCAACTGGTTACTGTAGAATTTGATTATCCAGTGTAAAGTATTTGGTTTTTTTAAGGTCAATCTGAGACATATTACCAGATAAGATAACCTTGCACACTAGAGCTCAATGGACACAGGATAATGGATTTTAAATGACTTAATTTAGACTGTAATACTTTATTTTTTTTTTCCTTTCTAAGTAATTTCAGACACTTGGATAGGATCCAGAAGCCTGTTGTAGCAATATTAAACTGAAACAAATTAATTAATAAAATATTTACCCAAATTCTGTTTATTTTTTATTTTTTATTTTATTTTTTGTTGAATCCATAAAAAACAACTGAATGTGATATCAGCATTAAAAACCAAGCAGCCTTTTTTCTCATTACTGGTTCTGGTATGACACAGTAACCTTCAGTGGAATGAGAACACAGTGACCTATGGAGACACCTCCAGAGCTTAAAAAAGAAAGAGCGAGAACCAGAATGAGAGAAAGAGGGAGGAAATTGACCTTCTGCCTTCTCCAATGGTCTTTCTCGACCTGTCACTCAGCCATGCGCTCTGTATTGACATTACATCTCCTCTTTATCTTCTTTCCCATCATTCTTTCCAAGCCTGAGCCTTGGGAGATAGACATTCACCAACTCTCTATCTCTATATCTCTTCTCTCCATCTCACCTGTCCTCCATTTACTGATCTCCTTCAGTCTATCTCTACATCAAACTCCCAAACATGCCAAACATCTCTCCTCACTGCTCCTACATACATATTTTCCATGTAGTTAAAAAAAAAGAGCTGTTGCAGATGGATTTCTTACAGTATTTATAACCGACATGGATATTTCAGAAGGTTACATATACACTCACCGGCCAATTTATTAGGTACACCATGCTAGTAATGGGTTGGACCCCCTTTTGCCTTCAGAACTGCCTCAATTCTTCGTGGCATAGATTCAACAAGGTGCTGGAAGCATTCCTCAGAGAGCTTGGTCCATATTGACATGATGGCATCACACAGTTGCCGCAGATTTGTCGGCTGCACATCCATGATGCGAATCTCCCGTTCCACCACATCCCAAAGATGCTCTATTGGATTGAGATCTGGTGACTGTGGAGGCCATTTGAGTACAGTGAACTCATTGTCGTGTTCAAGAAACCAGTCTGAGATGATTCCAGCTTTATGACATGGTGCATTATCCTGCTGAAAGTAGCCATCAGAAGTTGGGTACATTGTGGTCATAAAGGGATGGACATGGTCAGCAACAATACTCAGGTAGGCTGTGGCGTTGCAACGATGCTCAATTGGTACCAAGGGGCCCAAAGAGTGCCAAGAAAATATTCCCCACACCATGACACCACCACCACCAGCCTGAACCGTTGATACAAGGCAGGATGGATCCATGCTTTCATGTTGTTGACGCCAAATTCTGACCCTACCATCCGAATGTCGCAGCAGAAATCGAGACTCATCAGACCAGGCAACGTTTTTCCAATCTTCTATTGTCCAATTTCGATGAGCTTGTGCAAATTGTAGCCTCAGTTTCCGGTTCTTAGCTGAAAGGAGTGGCACCCGGTGTGGTCTTCTGCTGCTGTAGCCCATCTGCCTCAAAGTTCGACGTACTGTGCGTTCAGAGATGCTCTTCTGCCTACCTTGGTTGTAACGGGTGGTTATTTGAGTCACTGTTGCCTTTCTATCAGCTCGAACCAGTCTGGCCATTCTCCTCTGACCTCTGGCATCAACAAGGCACACAGAACTGCCGCTCACTGGATATTTTTTCTTTTTCGGACCATTCTCTGTAAACCCTAGAGATGGTTGTGCGTGAAAATCCCAGTAGATCAGCAGTTTCTGAAATACTCAGACCAGCCCTTCTGGCACCAACAACCATGCCACGTTCAAAGTCACTCAAATCACCTTTCTTCCCCATACTGATGCTCGGTTTGAACTCCAGGAGATTGTCTTGACCATGTCTACATGCCTAAATGCACTAAGTTGCCGCCATGGGATTGGCTGATTAGAAATTAAGTGTTAACGAGCAGTTGGACAGGTGTACCTAATAAAGTGGCCGGTGAGTGTATGTTTGCACTGCTGTCTATTTAACTGTGTTATATTAATCTCATCCTCCTTTTGCTTTTCTGTTTATGCTCTCTCTCTTCTTCTACTTTCAGGACTAATGGATGACCCTGTTATTTTGGAGTCCCCACCTTGTGTGTCACTGCACTCTCCCTCAACCTCCCTCTCTTCATCAGAGTTGGGAAACAAGGCCATGATTCAACACTCTCCTTGTCACTCTCTTTCCCTCTGTTTGTCAGTACACGTTGCTTTGTCTTTCTTTGTCCTTCTCTCTCCCCTCTCTCCTTTTTCTCTCTCTCAGTCCATCTCCCACTCGCTGTTTGTCTGTACCCCGACTAATAGATGGCTGTGGTGAGGGGGATGTGTCATGACAGGCATTGGTGGTAGCTCCATTAAACTGTAACCTTGCTGCTCTGGAGGCCAATGCTACAACACCTTCACCTCTGTTTGCCTATCTGTCTTTTATTCTCATCAGGCGTGATGAGAGCTGCTTTTGTGTTGCCGTGAGGATGATTACATAAAATTGCTGGTCGGTATTATTTGACCAGTAAATGTTAAATGAGTTGATTGTAACATTACTGTCTTTCAATAATGCGCCATTTGCATAATTTTTAGAATTGCCAGATTCACATGACACGGTAAATGCTCGTCTACACAAAACAGCAATCTGGTGCAAGTCGACAAGAATCATACCAGGAAAAAAATGAATATCCTTGACGTAAGGTACCGCCCCCAGACAAACATTGTTTTTAAGAGTCCCTTCACACACCGCCCCAGGCTTACACCAGGTCTACACAGCCTACATGATGAATACATTTACACAGGATATGATCAGGCGCAGCTCACAAGCCCTGCTCACATTAGCAGTCAATTGAAGGTGTGGAAACTCATATTTTGCTGACCTTGATTTACAGTCATCCAGACCTTTTTTTGTGTCTTGGTATGAATTCAAAACTCTTATTCTACTGTGCGCATTGGTGGCTAAATCCGATGTATCTATATTTCTTTATCAGCCAACATTGTGCTTCAAGCACAGAAGCTGATGGGTGCAATCTAAGTCAGTGGCTGTCCGCCTTTCTTCTGTGTTTCTGTCTTTCTTTCTTTCTATTTCACATCATTATTGTGAGAAACCAGAGAAAAACAATCATGCTGTACCATCTATCTCGACAGTTTCCTGATAGATGGTACCAGTGTGGGATTCTTTCAGTCACCTTGAAGTGAGATGATATTTGTTTTGAACAGTGTGTCGGTTTGTGATCTTATTGCCCGGACAAAAAAAAGATAGAATTATTATTGTAAGACAAAATATCCTGGAGACTAGGTGAAGTGTAACTGAGGCCATCTGATTGAAAAAGATGTTCCAGCCAATAACTGCCTTTACAGAGTACACCATTTATGGATACTGCAAATCAAGATCTGAGCTCAGAAAAGCCCTGGAGTGTGAGGACCTTCTATTCTACCTTCACTCTGTATCTATAAAGGGGAAAATATTGACACAAAAGATCCTAATATATCTCATTGATCATAATAAAGTGTGCACTTCACCAACAAAGTCAATGAACAGGCTGCTCTTCCAATATTCACCCATAATCCTCTCTGTGAGACCAGCTTGCGTGCTTCTTAATCACTCACTGAAGCATTAACTAATCAATGCCTATCAATTACTTGATTGGAGGTTCAATCATGTGTCAAGCCCTAGGCACAGATCTCATGATCAGCTGACGGATTGATTAGTTCAATGACTGGCCGGACGTGTTGCACTGACAAGGGCACTGAGGCTGTAGAAGTACTAGATAAAGTGTTGACGTTTGATTGATGCTTAAAAAAAAGAAGAGTGTTCCCAGCAGCCATACACAGAAGCACAGGGGGTGAACTCGATTTTAGTCTGTACAACTATCTGATAATTATAGAGTGATATGTTGAATAAAAAATCAGCGATTTCCAAAAAACTGGATATGACAGAATTAAACTTTGCAATTAAAAGGAAAATGTCCAGTGAGAGTTTCTGGCAGTCTGTCAACATTTCTGGAGATCAGTGGAAGTGGGTAGTGACCATTTCCTCAGAAGCAACTTTTAGTATTATTCTTAATGAAGAGAAAGACATAGAAATTTCCATTTGCTTACCATGTTAGTGTGTTGATAGCTTGAGAGGAAGGCTTTGAAGGTCTTATGAAGAACTTTTGCTTGTGTCACGTGTGTTGGCGCCCCCTGTAGACAAAACAGCACTTTAGTTTTTTTTTGCAGATTTTGACATGTGACATGTGTTGATGCAGCTTCCTGGAGTTAATCACATAGCCTGACACCCATAATCCCATGAGAAGTGTCAGACATCAACAATACTGAAAAAAAATGTCTCTCTTCTTTCTGCATCCCCTCCTCTAAACCAGATACAGTCTCAGCACATGACTGTAATACCTGAGTCTGGTTCTGCTTCAGGTTTCTGCCTGTTAAAAGGAAGTTTTGCTTCTCCTCTGTAACTTGAAGATGAGATGGGAGTGGATCTGATCTTATAAAATGGGGCTGAATCTTATTCTGTCTCTATGTTGGGTCTTTGTAAACAGAGTATGGTCTAGACTTTATTTTTTTCTTAAGTGTCTTTGGATAGCACTTGCTGTAGGAGCCATAATGTCACTTTGCTTATCGGTTATCCTATGTTCAGTTACTTCGGTCTGGTTGCTATTGGTTTCGCTGGGTTTGGGTCACATGGGCACTGTGTTTGAAAGCCGGTAAGTTATATAAGCGGCGGTCTCACCTGCACTGGGGTGGAGAGGTGAGCTTAGGTAACTGTAATTTTTGTTGACCGCGCTTTATGTTCTTTGTTTGCTATGATACACGTTACAAAGTGTACACATACACTCACCGGCCACTTTATTAGGTACACCTGTCCAACTGCTCGTTAACACTTAATTTCTAATCAGCCAATCCCATGGCGGCAACTTAGTGCATTTAGGCATGTAGACATGGTCAAGACAATCTCCTGCAGTTCAAACCGAGCATCAGTATGGGGAAGAAAGGTGATTTGAGTGACTTTGAACGTGGCATGGTTGTTGGTGCCAGAAGGGCTGGTCTGAGTATTTCAGAAACTGCTGATCTACTGGGATTTTCACGCACAACCATCTCTAGGGTTTACAGAGAATGGTCCGAAAAAGAAAAAATATCCAGTGAGCGGCAGTTCTGTGGGCGGAAATGCCTTGTTGATGCCAGAGGTCAGAGGAGAATGGCCAGACTGGTTCGAGCTGATAGAAAGGCAACAGTGACTCAAATAACCACCCGTTACAACCAAGGTAGGCAGAAGAGCATCTCTGAACGCACAGTACGTCGAACTTTGAGGCAGATGGGCTACAGCAGCAGAAGACCACGCCGGGTGCCACTCCTTTCAGCTAAGAACAGGAAACTGAGGCTACAATTTGCACAAGCTCATCGAAATTGGACAATAGAAGATTGGAAAAATGTTGCCTGGTCTGATGAGTCTCGATTTCTGCTGCGACATTCGGATGGTAGGGTCAGAATTTGGCGTCAACAACATGAAAGCATGGATCCATCCTGCCTTGTATCAACGGTTCAGGCTGGTGGTGGTGGTGTCATGGTGTGGGGAATATTTTCTTGGCACTCTTTGGGCCCCTTGGTACCAATTGAGCATCGTTGCAACGCCACAGCCTACCTGAGTATTATTGCTGACCATGTCCATCCCTTTATGACCACAATGTACCCAACTTCTGATGGCTACTTTCAGCAGGATAATGCGCCATGTCATAAAGCTGGAATCATCTCAGACTGGTTTCTTGAACATGACAATGAGTTCACTGTACTCAAATGGCCTCCACAGTCACCAGATCTCAATCCAATAGAGCATCTTTGGGATGTGGTGGAACGGGAGATTCGCATCATGGATGTGCAGCCGACAAATCTGCGGCAACTGTGTGATGCCATCATGTCAATATGGACCAAGCTCTCTGAGGAATGCTTCCAGCACCTTGTTGAATCTATGCCATGAAGAATTGAGGCAGTTCTGAAGGCAAAAGGGGGTCCAACCCGTTACTAGCATGGTGTACCTAATAAAGTGGCCGGTGAGTGTATGTGCGCATGTAAATCATCAGCAATTGTCAAAGCGTATTTTTTCTGTTTGATGAACTGTGGGTGATTCTTTGGGACAGCAGCGGCGTGTCACACAAATATACAGGACCTGTGCTCTGACTCAAGCAACTTTTTAAAGGTACTAGGAAAGCCGCAATATTTGTTGTGAAACAACATATAAATATGCATTAATGGACTAATTGATTGCAATAAAGCTGTAGAAAATCTGATATTTGGTTTTGTTGAAATTTCGAAAGAAGGAGTGCATTTATGCTAAATCTTTGGTTTGAGTTTTTGCCAAAATTGTCTTGGATGAACAGGTCAAAAGGTCAAAATACCAAAGATCAACTATAAATGTGTTACTCAGTTACTTTAAGATATCAAAACATGAATTTTAAACACCTTTTGGTTTGGACTTATCTGTTAATGGTGAGCTAAATCTCTTGGTTATGTCATGGGTAGGGTACATTCCGTCCTCTTCAAGGTCCAGGCCAATTTTCATCCCTTCCACTTTTTTTTCAGCGCTATCTATTTTCCTCTTTTCACTGTCCATTCCTCTCACCGTACTCCTCTCTGACAGGACTAAATGCACTCCTTATAAAAAAAAAAGTCCCCTAACCCTTAAATGCTTAGTGTCCTTTTAAACTCTTCCTCTCCAGACTCGGTGCTAGAGGGTGGGGAATAAATTTAAAAACATAAACAAAGCTTTATCATGCTGTGACTCACACAGAGACACACACACACAAACACGTATACCCGCCTCATTGTCAGCTACTTTTTGATGTCTATCCATAAAGACCGCAGTCACACAGCAGAATGACAGGAAGCAGACTGTGGAGGGTTTGCAGGCAGGTGAGACAGTTGTAAGAAGTGATGTACTGTAGAGAGTGTGTGTGTGCGTGTAAAGGACAGGGAGAGGAAGAAGCGAGAGAATAACATGGGTGTGAGATAAGTGAGCGTGTGTGTGTGAGAGAGAGAGTCAGAGAGATCAGAACATGTTGAGAAGAGCTTTCGGCTTTTCTCTCCGAGGATAAAGCGTGTTCCGGCCTTGTGCTGCTGAATCCTGCTGCAGCGCTGTCCGTGGTGCTGAATCGGCTGCAGGGTCTTCCGTCTCTCTTTATCTCCCTCCCTCCTTCCCTTCCCGCTCTCCTCCCTTACACTTTCTCTTCTTCTCCCTGTCTTTATCTCCTGTGCCCGCTCAAAGTCTCCTCTATCTTTCCCTCTCAACTTCACAGGCACTTTATTGTTAAGAAACACAGCTTGTTGCCACAGCAGTGTCAACACACACCCCATTGAAGTGACAGGATCCAAACGTCAACACAAAGACGCAAAATATGCCAACTGAGTATGGGAAATGAAATAGGAAAATAAGCCATAGGAACACACAAAAAAAATCAATGAAAAAAATTTTGTTTGTTGTATATGACGACTTTTTTTTAATGTTTAATATAAAAAATTCAAGCAGACTGTCCAATTGTGAAAAAGGAATACATGATTAATCAAACCTGCAGAATATAAACTATTAGCACACAAAACCTTGTCTAAAATCTAGTGTCAACCCTAAAAGTAAAGTCTGGAAGAGTCTACACAACACAAAGTGGTAGGTGGCCAGTGTTTATCTCATTAAAAATAAATAAATAAATAAGAAAAATTGAAATAATAACAAAGGTGCTTATCGTTTGAAATAAACTAACTGATTGACCCTTTTTAGTGTTAAAGGCACTGTCAGCAACGTTCATCCTGGGTTGAAATATTTGTTTTTTTAAAGGATAAATACCGCATTTCCCATAAGCCCTCTCACCTGCTGTCTTACAATTGGGATCGTGCCAAAGTGTGCATTTGCTATGTAAGCAAATGAACAGAGTTACATCCTTAATTCTAGTTTTCTTTGAGTGTTGTTACTATTAATTAGCTTACTAAAGGTGACCACTTGTCACTTTTACCTGCCACAGTAATGGTGTTGTTCACAAAAAGTCTGAACAGGAAAAATGCGCACATGGTTTGACCCTTGTACTGAAAGAGAAGTAGAGCATTCACACGCCTGGATTAACAATAAATCCTGTTCTTAGTCATTCTGCTCTTTTAACCGGCAAATCCCTGGTTGGATAGTTGCTCTAGTCCACCAGGAAGTGTATGTCTTTATGCTAATCCTTGTTCAGTGTCTGCCATAAGTATAATTTAAAAAAAAATAAAATGACAAAAGAAAAGTATTCACTTTTCATAAAAAAAAAAAAAGATAACACTGATATTGACCGTAGGGGGACAGATACGGATTATGTTAAAAAGCCATAAACGGCCAGATTCTCCTGACTTATTTCTCTGACTTCATCGGCAAAGTTTTAAACAGAACCGTTACCAAGTAAGCCAATAACATCTGTTTAACCTCTTTAAACCTACCAAAACACAGGCACCATAATCACACAAGGAAATAACCAATTTTGTCAGGACTAGTTTTAATTTTTGATGTAGGACCTGAAGAAACATTAGTGTATGAGTGACACTTCTCTACATTACTTAACCCTCCTCCTGTGTTCGGGTCTGTACTGACTCGGTTTTGATTTTAAATGCTTAAAAGAACCACTTAAATTAGCTTTTTTGCATCAAGACTTTTTGACTTTGTCAAGAACCTCTATTTCAACTAAATAAATATAAAAAAAAATAATTGACTAAATTATAAAATGCTCTTATTAAAATTCTGTTGACCCAGTTAGATCAATGTCTAATAATCAAGGCAAAAACTGAAATCATAAGTGCACTGTCAGGCACCACACTGACAGTCAGATCCTCTTCCAATCATGTGAGATTTAGGAAATTCTCATTCTGCCATGTCTGCCACATCTGTGTGAGGGGTATACTGACAAAGAAAGGCCCAGAGGCTGACTACAAAAATATTAAAATCAATATTTTCATGGATAATGAAGCCCAACAAGGTAACCTAGAGATGAGAATCAAAATGGATGATAGAGAATTGTTTTTAGCGGGATTTACAGCTGATTTAAGACACGGGTCAAAACCAACCCTTTACATAGTGGATGTGTAGTAAAAGCTAACACAAGAGGAAGGTTAAACACTCCTTTTAGTGCTTTTAACTAAAAAGTCAGGGAAGTCAATTTTCAAAGCATCAAAAACAGATAATCTATTATTAGAAATAAGAATGTTTGTGACAAATAATAATAAGTTGTTTAAGAGTCCCCTATAACAGTGACTAAATGTCCGTGGATTGATCCTACTGCCGAATGTGCTATGAAAACCTCTCTTTCTGCAGCTCTTTTTAACATCACAATGTAACTGAATGGATCTAGTGGAGAAATGGGGCTTGATAAAGTGGAGGTAAACTCATGGGACATCTTTTTTCTGCATGGTGCCCCCTAAGCTCTCCTGTGGTGCAGTGTCACGGTCTGTCCGCCAGATCTCCGTTCGCTACAGTTGAATTTCTCTTCAGGGTTTATTAGTCATACTCGTTATCAGCCTGCTTTCTAGGGTGAATATGTAACCCTTTTTGCCCACATTGGGTTTTTCTTTTTATATTTGTTATTGCATAATTCATAACAGTCATCTTTGACCATCACTAGAGGACCAAATCAATCCTCGAATGCATGGTCTTGAGGGAATTTCAGGGCAGCGCTTTGCTTCCCACCACATCTGTTTTACCTGTCTTTGTTCTTTCTGGCACAATACAATATCATTCCTAATTTGCATGAGAAAAAAAAACAGAAATAAAACAGTGTGTTCGTCAAGGGCCTGCACCAATATTTACACAGCCCCGATGACTTAACTCTGGGGTTCCTTGAGGTCAATGATGATTTTTCATCCCGGGATCCCAGAATGAGTACATTTTGTTCCACCCTGAGGACACATGGTCTAATTAAAACATTGCCACAGTGGATAGAACCCATCAGAAACAAGACTCTGACCCATTTTCTCGTTCTGATCAGTAGTTAAAGACAAAGTTGCTTCAGGCTTTTCAAAATCTCATCAAATTAGACCTTCAAATGCCACTAGAAGTGACTGTTATTCATGTTTCCAAAAATATACATCATGGACCTCCACATGTCAGGTTTTTTTTCACTCCCTGCCTTTGTTTTACTCACACACAGACACAGGAATATGTTTTATGTCTTGTGAGAGTGACCTTTACCCTATAGTAAGGTCCAGGGGTTTCTCTAGCTTGATTGAGGTTAGAGATCATGAAGCATGACGTTAGGAGTTTTCATTTTCTGTGCCCCTGTCTGATCTCCGTCTATTCACTTAATCTGTTTGTCTGGCTCTTCTCTGATTGTCTGTGTTATAGTTTTTATCTCTTCATTATCTCCTGCCCGCCGTGCCCCACCACCAACGCCAACAACCATGACCCGGAATTATATTCTTCTGAACCAGCCGTGAACCATCGCATTTATACCATCTCTTGCTAATCAGATAATTACGGAACTCTCACTCTTTATAAACCATGAAATCCTGCAGGATCTGTACAGTGAGAAGACTAATCTGTCTCCTGACTTTATTGTTCTGCCAAGTGCGAATGTCTGCATCCACCAGAGAGTAAACACATTAGACATTTTATGAAAGAGACGCGGCTCTGCATCTATAGCACACCAGTGACTCAAGTATTGATCAGACCAATAACACGGCATCAAAATGACTAAAACTGCATCAAAACAGGGGCACGGCCAAAGTGGTACCCAGGGATGGCACGGCCCCTGCTTGGGAACCGAACAAGGATCAGCTATTAGCTCATCATATATGTTAAAACCAACCATTTAAACAGGCTACTACAAGATGTCCATGTAGATTCTCATTCATCCAGGTCATGGTTTTCTTGAAGACTCCAAAAACAGGCAACTGGATTGTGTAGAGTTGACAGTATCCAAACGTCAGACATCTCACATCTTCTCAACTCTACACAGTCCAGTTGCCTGTTTTTGGAGTCTTCAAGAAAAGGCTACTACAAGCTTCTGTTGCAATTTTGATTGAGGACCTAAGACTGCCTCTGTCTCTGCAGTGTGTGAGTCTGATAACAGCCAGATATCTGACTCATCATCAGTATTTGATGAATAAGTGTAAAAAGTTTTATTTCTTTATCAAACTGTTTGACATCTAGCCCTGAGCAATTGCTGCAGGCGTTAAAACTTCAAAACAGAAATTGGCAATCTTCATACTAACATTCCAGTTTTCTTTTCTGGATAATAAAGAGGCATCACTTTTTATTTAGTTCTTTCATAACAGGGGCTTCAATATTAAAGGGATATTCCGGCATAAAATTAAAACACAAACACACCGTAACATCGAGTTAGACACCCCATCGAGAGATGAATGTGGCCAACCGTTTGCTTTTCTTGTTTTACCAACTTCAGTAACAACCGCAGGATAGCGTTATACAGTGGTCTGATGAGCCATAAACAAACCTCACCCAAAACGCCACTCTATAGCCACAAATAATGCTCAGAACAGCACCTAACTTCATCAACAGTACATATAAGGTCCCAGCCACAGTACTAGCCACCAAACATCTTTTTAGCTTTGCCTGATTTCTTTAGGAAAGAGACTAAACACAACTTACCCACTCTCCTCCAGCAGCCGTTTGTTTGTAGCGAGACCTTAGGTGCAGCAGGGTGACGCAGCTCAAGGAAGAACATTTATGATCATTTCTTTATGGAAATGCAATCAGACCGAGACACTAAGGCAGAAGAACTACTACGTCTGCAGTGCAAAATGATTAATATGGTGATTATTACTTCAAGGAAATGATAAAGTCATGATCACAAATGTTCTTCCTTGAGCTGCGTCACCCCGCTGTAGTCCGTAATAGACTAGCCTGAGGTCTCGCTACAAACAGACAGCTGCTGGAAGAGAGTAGGTGAGTTGTGTTTAGTCTCTTTGCTAAAGAAATTAGGCAAAGCGAAAAAGATGTTTGGTGGCTAGTGCTGTGGCTGGGGTCTTATATGTACTGTTGATGAAGTTAGGTGCTGTTCTGAGCATTATTTGTGGCTATAGAGTGATGTTTTGGTTGAGGTTTGTTGACGGCTCCTCAGACTGCTGTGTATCGCTATCCTGCGGTGGTTACTATGGGGTGTCTAACTCGGTGTAACCGTGTGTTTGACCCTAAATTAATTTTACGCCGCAACATCCCTTTAATGACTTATCTAGTTAAAGTAGTTGCTTATACTACACATGCATAAGTAAAGGCCCCAACACCTTTTAGCTAAGAAGAGAAGACAAGAAAAATGTGTTTATTTTATTCGTACAAAATTCCTAAGTTTTGCAAGTGATTGTTATTTCTTTACTCAGGGAAACATTGGTATGTTTTAACAAGAGGTCAAACCTATCCATAGGTGACAGGGGTTGCCTACTGAAGCCGTGGCTTTTGACTCAACTGACCCACACACACACAGCCGGTGCTGTCTTTTATGACACTGAGTAAGGGCTGAGATTGTTAGAGAGCGCCAACGGTGATCTGAGGGTGAGTGTCACATCATCACTCACAGGAGAAAAATATTTCTGAACTCCACCACACTCACAATAACTTATTTTTTTCCCATCTGATATATGTCTTTCTCTCCTCCCATCTCCTCCTTCTCTGCAGCAAACGTCCACATCTCCTTATGTGGTGTTCATTGTCTATTCATAGGCGGAGATTTATGCTGATTAGTGGCTATCGGGAGCAAGCTGTCTTTTTCTGATGAATTGGCATTCATGAACTTTCATGAACTTCCACACATGCCTATGATCAAACCAGGGGTTTCTGACACGTTCATGAATCTAGAGCAGTTTTTTAGCACCAATGACATTCATGTGTAAAGGTACACATAAATTTGCTTACGTTTCATGAATAAGACCCAATAAACCTAAACCACAAAATCACTGCTGCAGTCTTCAACGTCAACTTCATTAGCAACCAGAAGTCTAAGGTCATCTATCAGTTGACAGCTTATCATAAGGAGGGGAATCAAAGGAAAAAGGATAGCTCTGCAACCAAAAACAATGCATATTAAATCATATTTAGGTTTTTGTTTTTGATATGATAAACAGTAGTCAGGTTCTGCAAAAAAATCAGTAGGGATGGTGGATTTTTTTGCTTGGGACAGATATCGTCACCCTAAAATAATTTTTTTGGCCTATATTCATCTCAAGAGATGATGGAATTGATATGCTTTATTTACAGCCGGCTTTCCAAGGTGCAGTGCAAAAATATTTACAAAAGTGCAAAAGAAAAAAAAGGTTCAATACTGTTTACAAAATATAATAAAATATAAAACAAAATAATTTCAAGGGTAGTTGACTGAGCTAGACTCCATGTGACCCTGTATGTGCTGTGCAGTGATCTACCAATCACATTCGTTCTTTACTTAGTTGCCAATTAGACTACCCTGCTAGCTGTCAATCAAAACCAGAGAGTAGGAAACCACGCCCCTGCACATGGAGTGAGTTGCCGGCCCATGCTGGTGTTGTGCAGAGAAATGCAAACCCTCCGAGAATTACTTTCGGAACGTTACTCATCAGTGTTTAGCCCCACAAATAAAAATTTTATGGGTTTTAAATTGTACATTTGAAATGAAAGAGAGAAAAACGCCGAAAATGAAGACTTGTTGCCAAAAAGAAAAGCAACATCAGTTATCTGGAATTTTTTCAGTTACAAGAAGGACAATGTTGACCAAAACACGTGTTCTGTGTTCATCTGTTGCCACAATAACGTCCCAGCACAGTAAAAGCAAGTTAAAATATCTCTAATTCAAACAGAAGCCATTCTACTAACGTTCACAAAAAGAGGTAAGATCAGAGCAGGTTAACTGTCCACAAGATTTCAACAGTGCAGCATAATATAAAGTGCTATTCAGGTCATCTGAAAAAATTCATGTATTTTTTAATATCGCAATATATATCGCAGGGTTGAAAAAATTGCAATGTCAGTTTTTTCGAATATCTTGCAGCTTTATCAGGAACCCACTTATAATCCCGAGGCCCCACTAAGGTCCGCTTCCCTCGTTTTGGGAACCCCTGGCTGAGTCGGTGTCTTTATTCCTCCCAGATCCAAACTATCAGCTTCTTCCCACATGCAGGTGAACGCCCCGGCATGGCATCACGCGCATTCGTCATAACGCATCCATCCGATATCAGCAGCGTGTAATCCCGGAGCCGCGTGCTGTCAATAGACGGAGCAAGACACGGATACAGAGGAGTGGAGGCAGACAGGGAGAGGAGCCTGTAGGCGGATCGCCTCCCGGGACAAACCATCACACAGTGTGAAAGTAACTGCGGGAGACGCTCGCAGTGGCGGAGCAGGGCGCTCTTAAACGACAGGGAGAAGAAGGACGTGATTAGAGGCTGCTGTCTAAGAGGGATTTATCATCATTTTCTCTGTCTGGAGTTCGCCTTTTTCCCTGACCTATAACGCCTCCATCCATAGCGTGCAATCCACCGGGCAGCACGCGCATTTGTCCGTGCAGGAGCGAAGAGAGAGGTCAAGGCAAAGTCACTTCTGTGGCTCAAAGAAGGAACGGCAATTTTCCAACCTTCTCAAATTGTTTCCTATCTCCTTTCACTTCATTTGTGCACTTCTTTCTCGATTTCTCTCTTGAGTGGATACTCTTCTACGGCAGAAACGGATTATTATTCCGCGACCGGGTCAAGACTAAAGGCAAAGAGCTCTGAATGAGTGAGCTGTTATGTTGGTGCAGGAATGACAGCTGAATGGGGGAGCGTGGAGCATCTGTAGGGGAGCTTTTCGTGGAGACCGGCTGAGTAGCCGAAAACGACGAACGAGAGAGCAGATACTTCTCAGTCTCCTCCCATTGATATTCCTCTACTCTTAAACTAATCCCTTCACTATTGAGATTCAATCCTTTTCATGTTGTCATATTTTTTTTAAAGAGGAGTCCAAACGGAACGCAGGGTTCTCATGTGGAGTCCAAATGAGTGCGCAACGCGGCGGTGCGCCGGTGTAACGGCGTTTTTTTCCACGCTCACACTTCTGTCCCAGTGGATCGTCGGTGGACACTGAGCTGCTGTAGATCCCCGGCTGCCACCGGCCGCGTACCCATACACCGATCTCTTATGCAAACTCAACGGGAACTAAACTAAATAGCTTGCCCTAACACCTCTCCTGGAGCCCCGTTGCGCTAGGTGTGAGACCCCTCCTGAAGAAAAGTGGATATGATTTCTTATTCGGTTTGCAAATCTACCTGAACAGGAGGATTATTTGTCACATTTTTTTTGCACTGTAGAGTTCTACACCTGGCTTGATAACCGGGGGAGAAACAGCCTCCACCTAGCCGAAGTGGAGGAGGAGAGGGAGCAGCACAGGTATGACCATCTTCTTATCTACTATGATCGTCTGTCTGACCAACGCTGATCTTCGTCATTTATCACAGTTTTTTTGGACTCTCCTCGCTTATTAGCAGAGGGGGTTGAGTTGTAATTTTGGAAGAGCTGAACTGAGTCCACGCACTCGCAAATACGCACGCGCACAAACACATAAGAGGAGAAGGCAGATGGGGAGATAATGGCGCTGGTGTTCTCTCTCCCATACGATTTAGAGATGCTGATATCCGTTTTTATAGATTAAAGACTAGAGGGATGGAAGAGGGGGAGTGATGAGATGCCGAGGGGCTGTAAAGCATGGAAAGTGTGAATAAATGGGCCTGAAACAGATAAGGAGAGGAGATATAGCACTGGGGTGAGATAAGAAGAAGGGACGGGATGAAAGAGCAGGTGGGTAAAAAAGCAGCATGGGAGAAAAAGGGGGCAAAGGGGAGTCAGGGAGTTTTGAGGGAGGGGAAGAAAAACAAAGAAATGAGAGGGTTATTAATAATTAAAATGGGGGGGATGGAGCAGACATAAAATGAGAGCAGGGCTGAGGAAGCGAGGACATGTGGGGAAGAGAGACAGGAGGGACTGAGGAGGAGTTGTTAGGGGACAAGGGGAGAGGAGAGGGTGCAAGGCTAGAATACAGAAAAGGAAGGGGAGAGGAGAGAAGATGCCCTGAAGATAGGGAAGATAGAGGGGTTGTTAAGATAAAGGGAGAGGAAAAGGAGGGGGGGACCTGATGGCAGGTGAGGGGAAGGACTGCTGTAAAGGTGAGGGGAGGAAAATAGGAGAGGACAGGAGCAGGTAATGGAGGGCAGGTGGTGGGGAAACAAGCGAGAAAATACAGGAGAGCAATGAGAACAGAGAGAGGGGGCAGGCAAGCTCTAACAATAGCATGCTGGAGGCCAAGTGTAAAATACTTTTACAGTGCTGTGCTGTAGCTACGGTGTGGTATCATCCAGTGGATTGCTGTGTAATGGTCGCTTGCTGCTGCTGCACCATGGAGACAGCAGGAGAGAGAGAGAAAGAGAGAGACGGAGAGAAACCACAGCCAACTGTTTAGTTTGCAGCGTCAGCTCATCAGCTCCTCTTTACCTTGTAAATTCTCTCTTCCTCTCTAAAAGCCCCATTTGCATTTTGATGGCGGTGGTCAATATCTCTAAGTCTCCTTAAAACACATGTAAACACACATGCAAGATTGAATGAGATCTTGGGGGAGATGAATCGCAGATTTTCTTGTGTCAGTCTCAGAATGTGTATACCTGTGGATTAGCTGGAGCCATGTTTTCAATCGTCAAACTTCATAGCCTGGATTTTTTTTTTTTAGCTTTTCATTTTGCTTGTTTAGCAGTATCATGTTTGAATGTGGCTTGAAACAGTTTCCTGGCAGAAATGTTCAATTTTTCCACATTGAAGATGAAGTTTCAGATGAATATAATCGTATTTTGCAGTTTAATCAGCACCTCAACATAATGAAATGCAATGAGAGGCTGGAAGTGAATAAAATCTGGAGGGACTATATTCTGTCAGCACGTATCTTTGATCATGACTCCATTTGCTCTCCGACATTTAAAACTTATAAAACCTACAAATTTAAATCCTGATTTTACTGAGCTTTGAAAAATGTGCTAAAAGAAGATATCAGCCAGACTGTTTCTGCCTACTATAAAAACACGTTTTAATCATATCTGTGCAGTAAGAAGTTGATGTACTCCTGAAGTATGCTGTAATGAGTCTGGCCTTAATTCTGGTAACTTACATCTATGCCAGCATGCACACAGTATTCAAGCTCATGTTCTAGACAAGCTTATATTTCTGATGCATCTTCCTATCCCACACATGAATATCACTACACATGAGTAAACAGAATCTGCTTGCACTGTCATGGAAACTGAGTTCTCTGAGGCGCTTAAGAGATAGAACTAAAATTGGATTGGAAGTACCTCAGGGAAATGCTTGAGGGTCAAGCTTTTTTATTCTTGTTTTTCAGTGCCATAAAACACAGCTGAGTTCTTTTTTTAATGAATCGGAATGACTTTTGCATGAAGGAACTCCAAAAACAGAGTACTTGACTCCTCTGCAGTTAATTGGGTGTTTCTGCGCATGCAAACACACTGTTGTTGTCATACGCAGATGTTTTCAAAAGCAGCGCCTCTTTATAATGATTGTAAATAACTCAGTTTGTGCCTACTAAGTCACAAAACGCATGAAGTACTAAAGAATATCTTATTTATTCATCTTGTGGTTTGTGATTGGGAAATTTCCGCCACTTTTTTGTTTAATGGCAAAACATCCATTTGCATGCAAGCTTTGTTAAGCTGCACAAAAAATCTGAATCCCCTTCCTTTATAGTCCTCGTATAGAACCCACCTCCATCTAAATGAAAGACTGTGGAAGTCCCAGTATATCTGAGATGGTAGGAGGTCATTTTGAATGGCAGTGGATCCAGTTCGTCTAGTAGCTGACATGAGCTGACTGATGGGTTTGACAATGCCTAATTAGCTTCGCACTAGAGTATTACTACAACTTGATGGGCATAGTGAAATGATGGTAGGGTATTTAAGGATAGGTGACATAACTTATAAATTTAAAGCTCCCGTGAGTAACTTTTGATTTGTGTTGATTTTGGCGCCCCCTGTGGACAAAGCTGTCTTTGCTGATTTATGACAACAAATCTCATTTTGCTGACTTCTGTCAGTCAAATATATCATTCATAGTAGTGTTTGGCGGTATGAACAAAATCTTATATCATGGTATGAGTAATTTCATATCACGGTAAAGGTTTATATCATGGTATGTTTTTCATTGTCGGATTTTCTAAATCCGAAGATTCTCCAGACGACCGATGTCGTGACTCGCACCCTTTTTCTGAACAGGTTCCTCCTCCTCTTCCTCATGTTGGGTGGGTCAGGCTGCCTCTGTTTGCCCGATACTGCCACTAGTCTCTGCGTCTGCCATGACCACCACTAGTGAAGCTGTTTCTTCGTCATCAAAACTATGCCAAGCAGTCTGCTGGACATGCTGGTGATGAAATGGAGCGCACCTTAACCTGATCAACAAACAGAACAAACTCTGCACAACACACTGGTCAATATACTGAAACACACCCAAATGGATGCGCTCTGGCTTTCCAGTGTAGACAACTACACACTGACTCAAAGAGATACATAGTAAGCATTGTATTTAGAAATTGTAAGAATGGGGTTGTTTCATCAACTGTGAGGGTTGGACCTACTCTCTTGCACAAGTTTGAGAGGATATGTGCATATGAAAAATTGTCAGTTTTGTTGCTGATGGCCTTGTTTGATAAATTATATCACTGAAAGGCATCAAGATCAATTTCAGTCTATTTCATGAATGTCAAAAAATTCCACATGGGAGCTTTTAAATGTATGTAGCAAAATGTTCTATTCCTTCTTGATGGAAAAAGTAAACAAAACTGTCTTTCATATCCAGTTAAAATGAAACAGCCAATTAACTTAGCCAAGCATAAAGATGGAGGATTGGTCAACAGCTTTTCTACCTCTGCAAGCGCTAATTGTTATAAGAACTTGTAAAGCTATTTCCAGTCTCTGTGCAAGGCGTAGCTGCTAGTCCAAGCAACACGTCTAATATCTCTCAGAGGGGTATGTTTTATTTCTTGCAGGTCTCCAAAAGAACGCCAAAAATGGATTCAGAGAGGATGGACCGGATTGGCAGTTTCACATAAACTGCACAACCAGTTCTAAGCCGAGAGCAGAAAAGGCAAAAATTTCCTGCAGATTTGAAGGCCAGACACTTATTTGACCCTGATTCCCAGTATGAAAGCAGGCCGTGAAAGTGGCGCTTCATGATCCGTCTGGCTTACCGGGGTTTAGGCTGAGGGTTTCAGAAAACATACCAGGGGGATAACCGGGGTAAGAAAGCGTGAGAAAACTACAGTCAAACCTGATCATTTACAACACCAGAGTCAGTACACAGACTGCTGTCCTAACACGCAGGTAGCAGTAAGTCAGAGACGCAAATACAGCGATGGAGGGAGATTGCATGCAGGGATGAAGGAGTGACAGTCCCATAACACTTTCTCTGCTTCTAGCGGAGCCGACAATTCATGGTGGTTTGTCATATTTATTCTTTTTTTGAGCTGTGTCGAGGGGGAAAAATGGAGAGTGAGAGTTGACTCCGAGGAGCATTGTGTATAAGCATAGAATAAAACCAATCTATTTAAAGTAACATGATCTGGGACTCCCTCTTTTAATAAAGTTGTATAATGGATTCTATCATTTAAAAGCCTTTTGCTTACTGTGTGGTACTAATTCCCCAGGAGTCATGAAAAGACCTGAGCGTCTTTTTGAGCAAACTTTGAACAACAGCACCTGCTATTTTTAGCCAAATGTAAAGTACTTTTCATCCAGCCAGCATCAGGTTAAATAATGAATCCGGAAAAAAGTGTAAATTCCAGAGGAGTGTTAGTCTAAGTGATGGATGTGTCTGTATGGTCAGAGTGAGACAGCGCTGAAAAGAAATGGAACTCACACAGAGAAACTCAATGAGTTTTGGTGGGTGAAGGAAAATACAGTTTCATCTCTGCAGGGAAGTGATGCATGGGTCTGCAGGTACAAGGAAATGTGTTTTGAGCTTTATAAAAATCAAATATATAAATGTATGCTATGTATATTTGCAAATGCGTGGTGCTCTGGGAAGGTCCTAGCATTTGAAAGAGGGAAACGGAGTAAGGTTGCCAAAGAGTAAGGCATACAAGAGAGGAGTACGAGTGAGACAGATGAAAGAAAGACATTACAAGAAGAAGAAAATAGATAAATGGAACATTGGGGGCTGTTGAGGAGCATTTGACCTTTACTCAACAAGGCAGGTCAACTAAGAGGCAATCCTGGGTTTGGGTGGAAGCAGAGACAGGAGATGGAGCAGAGGAGAAATGCATGAAGCAGTCAAGGGTGTTGAGAAATGGTTGGTGTGATGTGAGAAGAAGACACTTTAGAAGAGGAGAAGAGGAAGGAAGGAGATAAAAAGGAAGCATACGGTGAGAAAACTCCGCCATGAAGCTCTTGGTGTTAAGTCTGTGATACGGCGACATGCTGCGTTATAGTATTAATGTCCAAAATATGTCATCAGGATGTTCTCAGCACTGCAGCATGCTGTCCACTACAGTAGGGGTTTAAATGTCGACATGTCTGTGCATGGGTGTGTGTGGGAGCGCATGCTTGTGCACGTGTGTGGCAGCAGATGCCGGTTCAGTGGCGCAATCCCACCTCACCGGGGGAGATCGGGTGAGAGATGCTGCTAAGAGAGAGAGAAAGAGAGAGAGAGGAAGAAAGGTGAAGAGAGGGATGGAGGGGAGGTGCCAGTAGAAAGAGAGCGTGGTGTGCAGAATGCCAAGTAGCCTGCTATTAGAATGGTGCTGTGTTGAGAAAGCAGGCTCAGGAATATAACACAGCTCAGCTCAACTTCAGGATCCCATACATTTACAAACATCATCATCAAAGGACAGATTTAGTATCTTTTTTTTCTAATTTATTTAATGCTGCAGTGACATTACAAATAAATAAAATAAAGATTAGTTTTGACTGCATAAATTAATAGATTCAAACATGACTTTTTAAAATTGGATCATAATTACCTTGTATTTTTTTTTATTATTATTTTCTTTTTGGGATTGTATGGTCCTATCGATGTGTTTACGTTAACCTGCACTGACATATAGTGGTGTCTCATTTGGTAACAGGTCCTGCTGCAATGGCGGAACAGATTGTGCCCACAAAGTAGGACTGGGCGATTATATGATCGTGATTAATGTTTTTGATAAATTTCAGTTTGATCACAGTGATCAGCTGTGAGCTTATTTACTCAATCAAACATGGCGGAAATGTGCATTAAAACAGCCAGAGTCAGAACTGTAAAGTAGGTCACTTAATAATTTGATATTTATCAACTTTTGTTGTATTGTTGAGTAAAAAGAGTTTCTTATTTAAATCTTATTTTATTTGCTTTGTTATTTACATTGTTTGTTAATAAAATGTTAAACTTATATCTAGTTTCTTCAGTTTTTAGAACAGATGGGTTAAAACTGGCAACTTAAAAAGATTTTTCAATAATCATAATAATAATTGAGATTAGATGATACGACAAAATATATTGTGATCATGTTTTTTTTTTTTTTTTTTTTTTTTTTTTGCCAAATCGCCCAGAATGATGAAGAGAAGACCAACTCAAATGATCCCAGACATCTATTGAACATGCAATAATCGCCCTATGCATGGGCTGATGGTTAGATTACTGTCAGTAGGCTAACAGCTATTTAAGTGACTTGACTACTGGGTTTAAGATGTTTGGTTTCTCAAACTTCTCATCACTAGTTGAGAGATATTTGCAGATATTTTTGAGTTCATTAAATTACAACAATCCAGCAGCAGCAGAATAATTGAGGGTATATCCAGTACAAGAAGGGCCAGAGTCGTCCGCAACTGCTGAGGCCACTGAGGACCTTTAGAGTGTGCAGGACTCTGTTAAAGACATTCTCTACCACTGTGGTGGTGTCTGCAGTCTTCTATGTAGTGGTCTGCAGGGGAGCAGGGGGCGCAGAGGGGGACAGGAAAAGACGCAACAGACTAGTTAGGAAGGCCAGTTCTGTCCTGGGTTGCTCCCCTGGACTCCAAAGAGAAGGTGGGTGAGAGGAGGATATTAACCAAGCTGACATCCATCATGGACAAACCCTCTCACCCCCTGCATGAGACTGTGGGGGCCCTGAGCAGCTTCTTTGGCAGCAGACTGAAGTAGCTGCGAGACCTGCTGAAACTTTGTGCAATAACCTTTAACAAAAAATATAGTGTGCATATGAATATACTACTATTTTTATTGTAATATTTTTACCTTTAAAATTGTTGAATGCTAACTTTGTAAGTACATTGTTGTTCTCCCATGTCTCTTGTTTTTGAGCTGCTTATCTTATGTCAATTGATCATACCAATTCACGTAAGATATACCAAGATTATACCAACCATATAAGGCCAAATGATAAGCTGTGTTTATTTGGGCAAAGTTGCAGTAAATCTTCTCAAAGTCACACACATTTAGACCTTTTAGATTAAGTTGGCTTATCAATCAGCGCAGACAGATTTGTCCAAAGACATGAACATTCATGTTAGAACAAAGCCACTGGATATTATCTTCAAAAATGATTCACAGACAATTGAATTTCCCTTCAGGGATCAATTAAGATATTCTTATTCTTATTCTTACACATTTCCTCTTCCATTTATGCAGTTTCTGGAATAATAACCTGCGTTATTTGACCTGAAACTCAAGTAAAGTTTGCATTTTTTGCACCCATCCAAACTATGTGCACACATGACTAATTTCCTGTAACTTGTATTCCCAGCGGACTATTTGAGGCATGCAGACCAGACACCTGCAGTCATAAATGTCTTATCCAGTAAAGGCACTTATTTCCTGGTCCAAATCAGAATTTTAAGCATTGGGAAGCAGATTGCTTTAAAGTAGAATAGGAAGAGTTGATGTAATTGACTGTGCTTGGTAAAAAACATTATCTCTGATCCTGCCCCTTTAAAACTGCTGAAGTCAAATAAACGTGTCTGACGGCATAAAGACATGAGATGTATTACATTAAATGTCAGGAATGTGGGTTTATTTTAGCACATGTTATGACCTTTTAGGCTGCCTGATACCTCGTGTTAATGTGTTTTCAGGGCATAGGAAATAAATTACACTAGTTTAGGCTCCTTTACTGTGACCATGTGTAAGTGGTAATCTATGAAAAAAATAATTGTTTGGAGTGTAAATACATTTTTCAAAAAGCATGATGTGAGCACATTATGTTATTTTAAGTTCAACTCATGAACTGGAAATCCATATGTCACTAATGTGTGGTTCACAAAGAACCACAGTTGGAGGATAATCATGAGTAACAGACTAGGAGATGTGTGATCATTAAATCATCAAGCAAAGCTTGGTTACACGACAGGCTAGTCATAGATGTAACAGGTATCACTCTAATATCATTTGGGACTACACATTCAGCTAATGAACATAGCATTCGCTTCATTATCACATTTGCTTCATATTTGTAGTAGAAGTAATATAGACTCATATAGCTGTTATTGATATTGTCGTTCATGCAGATGAAATGTTCGTTTTACAGTA